GGCAGAGAGGGGGTTTCAACCATGGTACATAAAGACTGGAAAGAGAGCCTAACAGATTGAACCTCTGTAGCTTCTCTGTGGAGCTGCCCCTGACCTGGTGGCCAGAGGATTTCTCTCCCACAGCTGAATCCATGCAAAACCCAGAAATAACCAGCCTGGCACTGTGATGACCTATGAATCCATGCATTCATTCAACAAATATTTTTCACTCCTTTCTGTGAGGGCAAACACAGTTCAAGGTACTTAGGATGCATCAATGAGAAAAACAGGCCCCAATCCTCGCCCTTGTGGAAGGAGGCAGATAAAAAGCAATAAACGCAATAAATGTTTTCTATGTAACGCGTTGGAGAGACATGCTATGGAAAAAATCCCAGGGCGAGGGATCTGAAGGAAAGGAGGGGAGGTTTAAAGCAGATGTGCAGGGCCTTCCTGAGAAGGTGCCGTCTGAGTAGATGTGAAGGGGTGAGGGAGCGAGACAGCAGCATGTGCATATCTAGAGGTGGAAGTGAATCCATTAAGGGGGTGATCAGAAGGGAAACCAGCGGGGACCCAGATCAATGGGAGCTTGAGGGGCATGGGGGCCATCAGGGAGTTTGAGTCATGGATCCTTGTCTTCAAAGGACGACTCTGACTGCTCCACTGGGAATAGACTGTAAGGGGACAATGGGCTGCTGCAGTGGGGATGACAAGAAGAGGCCACATTGTGAACTTCCAGCTTTATTTACCGGCTGTCTCTTCCATTAGTATCTCTACTCACCCCTGCCTGTTCCCACTGCAACCCAGCACGTGGTGTCTTCAGTGTCCTTGGGAGGCTGCTGGCACTCATTCATTCATATCACCTTAGAAATATTTATTGAGCACCTGTTATGTGCCAGACACAAATATGAATAATGTCCTGCTCAGAAGGACAGCAGCCATTTGGGATTTATCATCTCTAGGCCATCACCAAAGTTTTTTGTTTGTTTATTTATTTTTTATTTGTTTGCTTGTATTTGAGGCAGTGTCTCGCCCTGTTGCCCAGGCTGGAGTGCAATAGCACAATCTTGGCTCACTGCAACCTCCGCCTCCCAGGTTCAAGCAATTCTCCTGCCTCAGCCTCCCAAGTACCTGATATTACAGGTGCGCGCCACCACCCCCAGCTAATTTTTTGTATCTTTAGTAGATACAGGATTTCACCATGTTGGCCAGGCTGGTCTCAAACTCCCAGCCTCATGATCCTCCTGCCTTGGCCTCCCAAAGTGCTAGGATTACAGGTATGAGCCACCACGCCTGTCCCAAAGTGTTGGTATTTAACAGGCACACCATATTGAACTTTAAGTGTCCAGGTTCAGCCCAGCGTTTTATCAGGAAAACACAGTCCAGAGCTCCAAATCATTGCAATGTTTCTATGTGCCTCTTAGAGAATCTAAGAGGGAACCCAATTTCTAACTCCAGGCACCCCTTCTTAAAAACCCTTTTTTTCTGCCCTCCCCAGTCCTCCCTCCCTTGCTCTTTAAGCGCCCCCCCATTCCTCCCTCCCTCTTCTCCCCTGGTCCCTTCTGCCAGCTCCACTCAATCCCTTCCTGGCTTCTCTCTCCTCACCAGCTCTTTTCTAGATGCAGCATCCCAGAAGTCAAGGATCTGGGCAAAGACACGTTGTGTGGTGCACTGGGAAGGAGCTAGGGAAGGTCAACATGATGTCGACCCTCACACACTTGATGAGCCCCACTCACACCAGACACCATTCCTGAGGCCGACCCCTGGCTTCCTACTCTCTGATCTGGAGATGCCATGGCCTCGTCCCTGTCCCTGGGTGTTTCCTGTGACCTGCGCCCACCTGAGGCCCAGGTTGGGACAGAACTGGAAGGGAGGACACTCAGCACAATCTGCTCCGGTCCCCATGGTCCCCATGGTCCCCATCTCTCATGGGGATGATCCTGGGCCCCTCCCAGGAGAAAGGCCTACATGTGCCCCCACTTAACTGTATGCCCTTGACGCACCTCAAATCCACATCCAAAGCTGGCACCCTCCCTTGGGGCCTCACTGTCCTCGTCTGCAGAAGAATAATACCTTAGAAGGTGTTGTGAGGATTCAACGAGATAATATACGTGCCTGGCACATTTTCAGTGTCTAATAAATTCCAGCTGTCATTACCATGATCTTTCCCCACTCCCACACTTCCTCTGCTGCTGGATTATAAACTCCTGGCAGTTTGGGCTGTTTCATCTTTGTATAGCCAGTGGCTAATTCAGGGCTGGAATACGGTAGGTGCTTATCAATCCTGGATGAATTGATAAAAAATATGCATTAACCAGGCCCCCGTGGGATTTAAAGTTTATTCTTTCCAAGAGGTTCTAACATTCTTTTTTTTTTTTTGTAATATAGATTTTGGTTTTTTATTTGTGTGTATATATATTGGGTTTTAAAAAATAATTTCAACTTTTAGATTTAGGGGGTACATACACAGGTTTGTTACATGAAGATACGGCCTGATGGTGAGTGTTGGGGCATGAATGATCCTGTCACCCAGGTGGTTAGCACAGTACCCAACAGTTAGTTTTTTAACCCTTTCCCCACTCCTTCCCTCCGCCACCAGTAATCCTGAGTGTCTGTTATTGCCATCTTTATGTCCATGAATAGACAATGTTAAGGTCCCCCATTTGTAAGTGAGAATGTGCGATATTTGGTTTTCTGTTCCTGCATTATTCCCCTGGGCTAATGGCCTCCATGTTGCTGCAAAGGATATGGTTTCGTTCTTTTTTATGGCTGCATGACATTCCTAAAGTATCAGTGCTGAGGGAGTCTGCCGTCTGTTATCAGATGTCCCTGAGCTAAGCCCTGCTCCCTGGGCCAGGGACAGTGTGGGTAGACAGGGTTGGATAAGACGCCTGTGGCAGAACTCCACCCCAAGGTGGCCTGGAGCTGAGTTCCGAGTTCTCTGCATGTCTGGGTGCTGGCTCCCTAAGGCTGCGTTCCCCAGTCAGCATTCTAGACAGCAGCGAACCAGGATACAGAGCAGATGGAAGGTGGAGAGGGGGACACGTGGCTCTGTCAGGAAATGAAGGCCGCCATCTTGTCCTCACCCTTGCCCCCTGCCCCCCCACCCCCTCGAAGTTGCCAGGCTTTGCTCCAGCCACCAGGACAGAGATCTCCTGAGAGAAGGCCACTTGGGGAGACAGCACCTCCCTCCCTGCTCTTTATCTGCCTGCTCCTGTCAGTCAGTCTGACAGGAGATAAGCCCGGAGCTGTCTGGGCCTGAGCCCAAAGGGAGAACATAATTAAAAAGCCACTGCTGGCCTGGCAGGGTGCCGGGGTGTGGGGGGGGCACCTGAGGATCTCAGCTGGGGACATGGAGAGGACCCAAGGGGAAACAGTCCCTTCTTTGAGAAAGAGCAGAGTAATCAGCACTCATTGAACAGCCTTGCAAATAAAGGGCAGCAGGCTACCAGCCCAAGGAAGATTTGCCTGGCACCTACCCCCAGACAGGAAAACCCAGAGGGAATGTGACCTCACACTTCTATTCCACACCCTTCATTTGACTTTGCTTCCCATTCCCACCCCACTTCTCCAAGGCATGTGACTTCTTGGGCAGGGGGTCTCAGGAGGCCCGAGATCATTGAGACATGGTCCTGAGAAGTGCCACGGAGGCCTTCATGCTGCAAAGATGAAAGCCATGCATTCTCTCATTCATTCCAACAGCACAAAGGGGGTTGTGAGGCCAAAGTCAAATCAATGCAAAGCCCAAGTCCATCTGGGCCATGCCAACCTAGGTAGTGCCCACACTCTAACGGGAAGCAGAGAGTAACAGACATCGCTCAGAAACAGAATGCAGCACAGCAAACGGATAGAAATACTCCTGGGGAGAGAAACGCGGCTCTGTGCAGGGATGACAGAGGATGCTGAGCACACTGGTCTGGCCTCCCTGTGGAGGGGACCCGAGTTGACCCTGAAGGATGAGTAGAGGGTTACTAGTCTAAAAATGGGCATGGGGTGGGCCTTCCAGGGGGAGTAACAAGCACGGGGATGGAAGGAGCAGGATTTGTGTGCGGAGTGAAACTGCTGAGACCCACAAGGTGTGCTGCGGACTGTGGTGACGCTGGGCTGGCGAGGCCAGCAGAAGCCCAACCCCACAGGGCTCCAGGCCACCTTAAGCTTTAGCTCTCTGTCCAAGGAGCAAGGGAACCCACTGGTGGGTAGCCGAGAGTGGCGAGGGTAGCAGAGACCTGTCCTCTTTGTGTGTCCAATGGGTGGAAAATGGATTCAAGAGGCAGATGAGGAGCTGCAGTCCAGGTGGAGGTGGCGGTGGCCTGGCACAGGGTGCTGGTGGCCACAAAGGGAAGACATGGATGGATAGAAGGGCTTTTCCAGAGCCGAAGCACAGGTCTTGGCCATGGATTGGTTGTGGGGAGTGGTGAGAAGGAGGTGCAGGAATGACTCCCAGGCTTCGGCCTGTACACCTGTACACCTGGAAGAAGGTGCTCCCCTTACTTTGGTGTCCACTGGGGGGGCCCTCACCTGCCAGGTGTTCACTGCAGTGTGCAGGCTCAGTGCAGTCAGAGAAGGTGGGATGTGGTGAGCTATTCCTACGCGCTCGTTCTGCAGAGGCAACATCTGAGGCTCGGGGATGACTGGACTCACGAAGGACCGGGTCAGAGCCTGGGCCCCTCAACCCCACTTCCCGCGTGGTCTGTTGGGGAGAATTCCAGGCTGAACATGAGGCTCCCTGGGCTCTAGCCCTGACTGTGCTCCAACCCTTTGAATGAATCTCAGCAGGTCACGTGCCTCCAGGCCTCAGTTTCTCTACTCGTGAAATGGAAAGAAAGAGAATGGCCACTTCTCCTCTTCTTGGGGAAGACTGGTAGCTGTCATGCAGTCACTAACTGGGAAGATAGTCTGCATTTTCTTGGGGAAAATGCAAAGAATGATGCTCTGACTGCTTGGGGGTGTCTGAAATGGGAAAACTAGGTTGTGGGGACCTTGGGGAGCCTCTCCTCACCTCCTGCCCTTCCTGTGTCTCACAGGTTCTGAAGGCGGAGTGGCCAGCAGGATGCCCGGCTTGCTGAATTGGATCACCGGGGCAGCTCTGCCCCTCACGGCGTCTGATGTTACCTCCTGCGTCAGTGGTTATGCCCTGGGCCTAACTGCCTCACTCACCTATGGCAACCTGGAAGCCCAGCCCTTCCAGGGTAAGAACACCTGCTGAGGTCTCCCCAGGGCCACCCCCTCCTCCACATTGAACCCTTGTCTTGACATTTACTTGCTGACTGACCTTGGGCAAGTCATGCCACCCCTCCGAGTCTGTTTACTCATCTGTAAAATGGGAAGACCATTTCTGCTCTGCAGGCCTCAAAGCTAATAGCAAGGAGGGTCTGGATTTGAACCAAGGAGGTCTAGGTACAGCCCCGGCCAACTGTCCCTACACTTTTCTTTTTCTCTGAGACAGGATCTCACTCTGTTGCCCAGGCTTGAACTCAGTGATATGATCACGGCTTACTGCAGCCTCCACCTCCTGGGCCCAAGAGATCTTCCCACTTCATCCTCCCAAGCATCTGGGACTACAGGCATGTACCACCACACCCAACTAATTTTTGCATGATGAGGTTTCGCCATGTCACCCAGTCTGGTCTTGAACTCCTGAGCTCAAGCAATCCACCCACCTCGGCCCCCCAAAGTTCTGGGATTACAAACATGAGCCATGGTGCCAGACTGTCCCCACATTTTTATAGTCCCAAGGCACACTGTCCACTGTTCAGTCCCACACTTTCTCCAGAGAGCCTCACAAGAGAAGAGGCATCAAGACTCAGTCGAAGCCAGGAGCCCCCACTCCTAGCCATGGCTCTTGCTCCTATGACCCTGGGGAGGCTGCCACCCCCTCAAAATCAGGACGCTCCTCTCTGCTGTCCAGATGCCCCAGGCGGTGGCGGAGCAGATGAGGTAATACAGATGGCAGGAAGTTGTGGACTGAGAAACCATCTGCGAATACGCACCACAGTCAGGGATGTGGAGGCACGCTGGCCTGTCAGAGTCATGTGTAAATCACACTCCTTCCACTTCAGGAGAGGGGTTGTGGGAAAGCTCACTAGGCGGGCACTGGCCAGGATCCCCTTCTCATCCACAGTGATGGGGCCTCCTAACCACCAGACTTTATGTCTGTGGTCACCAACCTGAGGTTTTGAAACCCCTGCAGGGCTGCCCTGGGAACCAGCACTACCCAAAGGGAGCTGCAGGGAAAATTTCTTCCCCTTAGAAATCTCCCAGGCAGGGTAGGTGGCCTTGTTCCTGTGTCCAAGGAAACCCAGAGAGGGTGACTTAAAATAGGATCCACCTGCAGACTCAGGGGGCTAAATAACCAAATGACTTCGAACAGCCTTTTGGCTTTTCACATGTAGAAGGAACAAGTCCCCCATTTTACAGATGAGGAAGCTGAGGCCCAGAGGAAGTGGAGGTCAGGGTTTGTGGGGGGCTCACCCTGGGCCCAGCATTGTGCTGTTCTGACGTTAAGAGGGTAGATAAAATGGGACCTTGACACTGTACATTACATGCGATTCCAGCCGCCAGCGTTCCTCAGAAGCTGCTTAGAACTGCAGGATTTCTGGCCCCACTCCCAGAGCTACTGAATCTGAATCTACATTTTAACAAAAACCCCCAGGTCATTCGTGAGCATCTAAAGTTTGAGAAGCACTAAGATATAAAAACGTGGCACAGCTGGGCACAGTGGCTCACACCTGTAATCCCAGCACTTTGGGAGGCCGAGGTGGGTGGATCATGAGGTCAGCGGTTCAAGACCAGCCTGGCCAAGATGGTAAAACCTCATCTCTACTAACAATAGAAAAATTAGCTGGGCACGGTGGCAGGCGCCTGTAATACTCAGGACGCTGAATTGCTTGCACCCGGGCAGCAGAGGTTGCGTTGAGCCAAGATTGCACCGCTGCACTCCAGCCTGGGCGACAGAGTAAGACTCTGCCTCAAAAAAAAAAAAAAAAGGTGGGGGGGGCGTGGGCTTAATAAATGATGCCTATTTATTCAGTTCTCACAATGACCCTGTGAGTAGGCTTCATTATCCCCATCTTACAGATTGTGCTAGGAGGCCTAGAGCAGCTAGGTGTCTTATTCAAGGTCACCTGGCTAGAAAACATGACGGGGCCTGAATTAGAACCGTAGTCTTCCTTCAAAGCCCCAACCTTCCATGCCACAGCTGGCAAACTGTGGCCCATGGACCAAACTGACCACACAGACGTGCTTTATGAGGCCCACACAGTCCCATAAAAACCCATGTTTTCACTCTCTTGGAAAATCAGAAGTTCTGACCACATCAGGCTCATGTACCTGCAAAGTAAGAGCTGGCCCTGCCACTGTGCTTACCCACCTGGTCTCGGAGCTGGGAGGTCCCAGCCTGGCTCTCTGCCCAGCCCTCCCAGCATCTGCTAAGTGGCAGAGGGCACCAACCACCAGGATGGCCAAGGGTTCAGGTTCCTTCCAGGCAAGGGGTGTACAGGGTGGGCCTGGGGCACCCCGTGATGCTGGACCCTGCTCTGGCAGGCCTCTTTGTGTACCCCCTGGATGAGGGCACCACGGTGATCGGCTTTGAGGCAGTCATTGCAGACCGCATCGTGACGGTACAGATCAAGGACAAAGCGAAGCTGGAGAGCGGCCACTTAGATGCCTCCCATGTTCGATCCCCAACAGTCACAGGTAAGGCAGCCGGAAGAGCTGTGGCGGGACCCGGGTTTGTCCAGCCAGAGAGGCTGCCGGGGCTGGAGCCTCAGGCAGACTGCAAGGACAGCAAGGGTGTATGAGGGAGAAAGAGCACTGAACTAGTCAGGAATCGCAGATGAAGTCCTGTGCCACCTTGGGCCAATAATTAACTTCTCTGAGTCTCAGCTTCACTGTCTGTTAAGACAGAGGTAATTGACTTCCTGTTGTCACCTCGAAAGTGTGAGGATCAAAGGAAGGGAGGCAACAAAAAGATTTTAAAGATGTCTCTAGAGAACAAAATAACATCTTTTTACGCTCAGAGGCTATGGGGTGGGTCACACCAGGATTGGACTCCCTTTCCTGTTGCTCACAAATGGTGTGAGCTTAGAGAAAAAATATACCTCCTCTGTAAAGTGGAATAAATAACAGTCCTCACCCGATGCTCAATCAGGACAAACCACGCGGAGTACTCACATCACAGTAAATACTCAAAGCATGGCTACTAAGGCCTGCTATTGAGGAAACTGAGGCTCAGAGCACGAGAGCCACTGGCTCAAGGCCAGTAAAAGGCAGCTGTTAGTGCCTTTTAGGCAGCAGGTCACACAGCATTAGTGGCAGAACCAGGGCTAGAACACAGACCGGCTGTCGTATGATGTAAGAGATTCTTACTATTGGATCTGCGATCAAGGCGAAGTTCATTCGCCTGGTTATTAAAATGTTTAATGAGCACTCACCATGTGCAAGGTGCAAAGTTGTCCTTGAGTTGTGATGATCTATCGCTGTCTGAAAGACTAGTTAGGATCTGTCTAGGAGGAACCATGATAGGAGCAGGAGGTGGAAAGTGGCCCTTCAATGACGTCAGAGGAAAAGGCCAGGCCAGATCAGGGACCAGGGAGGTGTTCATGGAGGGCTTGGGTGGGTGGGCAGACGGGCTAAGTACGGATGAAGGAATGGGTGTTTTGGATAAAAGGAAAGAGCATGAGCAAAAGCATGGATCCCCGAGGTGGGGGATGCTTCGATTTGGTTCTTGGAGTGGGAAGTAAAGTCTGTAGGTTGGAAATGTGACCCTCTGTTGGGGTTTTATGAGTCCAGGTTTTCCACTCCCAGCAAGATAGAGTGGAAAGTTCACAGGCCTAGGGTCAGGCACATAGGGTTCAGATCCTGGTTCAATGAGTTACTCATTCACAAGTCACACCCTCAAGCTGAGCCTTGGTTTTCCCATCAGCAAAATGGGGCCACTCACACTTACCACAATAGCAATCTTAGAGGGGATCAGAGATGATATATGTACAGCCCCTGACGCCAGCCTGGCACTTAGGGAACACTCTGCAAGAGAGGGTTTCCATCGCCCGTCATTCCTGCACTCCGGGAAAAGTGACCTTGGACGAGGATTTGGAGCGGATCCTGTTCGTGGTCAACCTGGGGACCATTGCCCCCATGGAGAATGTCACCATCTTCATCAGCACCTCTTCGGAGCTCCCAACGCTGCCCAGCGGGGCTGTGAGGGTCCTTCTGCCTGCTGTCTGTGCCCCCACTGTGCCCCAGTTCTGCACCAAGAGCACTGGCACCACCGAGCAACAGGCACAGGGGTAAGGAGGCCCTGCCCAGACCAATCAGAGTCCCAGATGGGCAGCAGAGAGTGTGTCAGGTGACATCAGCGGGGGGGGTGGGGGAGACAGGGAGGAGATGGGGAGGTTCTGCTGTACAGTGCTACCCTCTCAGCCATTTGCTTCTCCCTGCTCACTTTTAGAGCACTTAAAAGTATCCCTGAAATGCCTCTGTAATACTACTGGCCAGAAGTGATGAAATGTACAGCTTGGAATCAGCATTTACAAGCTGTCCAAATTTCATAACTTACTCAAGTGGCACTTTCTGAGCACCTACGCTGTGCTAGACACTGGGCTGGTTGTTAGGGATAGAGAAGGAAAAAAAATCAACATGTTTCCTGACATTTTGGAACTTGGGGGAAGGTCATTATCCAACGAATAACACATCTAATTGTGTGACTAATTGTTTATGTACAGAACACGTAATTGACTGAAAAGTACAAGGAAGAGAAGTTCATTGAGCTAAGAGTATAAAACAGGGATCCAACCTGGGGGCCCAGGGGCCGGGCCAGGCTTCTCCAAGGAGTGATGTTTCAGCTGGGAACTGAATGATGAGGAGAATGTAGGCACAGAGAGGAATGTTCCTATGGGTGACAGCAGCAAGGACAAAGGCCCTGGGGTAGTAAGGACAGGGCTCCAGAGAGGAACAGAAGCACAGGTGACACACAATGAGACTGCAGAGGCATCGGACGCAGTCTTCGGCTCTTGCTAAGACGGGGTTTCTCCCAAAAGCAACAAGGAGCCATTAATAGGGTTTTCAGCAGGATGAGGAGGGGAGCATGACTAGCCCAGTACCTGGACACTTTCTCTGTTCTTCCCTGGTGGTATAGGAGGGAAAAGGAGGTGGGTCACAGTCTAAGGCACTTACGGCTGAGATCATTTTCTATGAAAGTTAGTGCTATAGGGGACGGAAGGGGACAAAGTGGACAAATGCTATTTTAGCTCCAATGAACAAGGATTTGTAGCCTGACCTGAATAAAGAGGGCAAGCCATGGACATATTCAAGAGGGAATATTTTGCTCAGGGAGAATCACAAGTGCAAAGGCCCTGGGGCAGCAGCAGGCGCCATGTATCAAGGCAGCAGCACAAAGGCTAGTGTGGCTATAGCAGAGTGAGAGAGGAAAGGAGAGAGGTCAGATGGGTAGTGAGGAGTGGGATCATGCAGGTCCTTGGAGGATGACACTTGGCACAACAGAGAAGCTGGTGGCACAAGCCAGTCTCAGACCAAAGAGCTCCGGCCTGTGTGTTGTCTTTGTAAGTGTTGCCAATGAAGTTGCACCTTGTGCATTTGAGAGGCAAGGCCTAGCCAGGACATTCGGGACCTAAGTGGATCAGGGGACAAGAGGCTCAGGAAGTCCTGGTGCCACTACGCTTCTTCCTGCCCATTCCAGCAGGCAGAGTTAAGAGTGACATTCTTGGGAAAATCCTGCATCCAACCCCTGTGAACCTCGAAGGAGCTCAGATAGAGTGACACAGACAAAATTCAGAACACAGATGATACCAAATGTTGGTGAGGAGACAGGATGATGCTCGTTCACTGCTAATGGAAGTAGGAACGGGACAGCCACCCTGGAAAGCAATCTGGCAATCCTCAGCGTGTCCTTTCACCCAGGGATCATGGAGAAATTCTTTCATAAGTCCAAAGGGAACATGGATAGGGATATTCATGGTCTCACGGGAACATGGATAGTGATATTCATGGTGGCATTATTTGTGGATCCAGGGAGGCGGAGCTGGGAACAACAAATAGAATGTAATGGAGGTCCCCAGGTGACATCAAGTTAGCAGCGAGGACTTGGGTTTGCAACCACCTGGGCAGAGTTTTAAAACATAACATTGTACCAAAAAAAGTAAGAGCTTGAATGAGATTCATAATGTAGGCAATCGTGTCAGCTTAAAGCACGATCACAGCCAAATGCTGCTGTGTATTTTACAAGGATGTGTGCATATGGAAGGACGTAGATTAAAGACCTTGGGGGGTGTACCTGTGGAGGGGAGGGGAACAGAGCAGAATGGGATGGGGTGAAGATCACAAAGAAAGAGGGCCCCGAAATGTGAGCATTCAGCAGGTGACAGTCACTCGGCTAAGCAGTTGCTCCTGGAGTCCTCAAAGCAACTGCAAAGTATTGTCCCCATTTAAAGGATGGGAAAACAAATGCTTAGGGGAGAAATGACTTGCAAGGGTTTGCAGCTCACAGAGACAGAGCAGAGATTCCAGACGCGGTGTGACGCAGTACAAACCATTTCATCATGGAGCCAGACAGACCTAGGCTAGGAGGTTTGGGCTGGGATTCTGCCAAGTCTTAATTGTGGGAACTTAGGCTAGTCATTTCGCCTCACTGAGCTTCAGTTTCCCCACATGGAAAGTGGAGACCCTGACATCTTCCTCCCAGAGCTGCGGTGAGAATGATGTGAGCTACCCCTCAGGAGTACCAGGCCTGGCACTTGGCCCAGCAAGGGTGCTCCTTGGAGGTGGCTGTGCCTTACATCAGAATCCAGGCTCTCCCTGGGGTCAGGCTAAGTGGGAGAGTACAGGTTGGGGCCCTTGGTGGGCTGGGCTGTCTGGGACTCATTGTCCTCTCCTTGTCTTCTCATGCTGGGCCCCTATCTCTGCCCGGCTGGTTTCCTTTCCTTCTCCCCGCCCTTTTCTAGCAAAGACGGGCACTGCTTCGGTGCCTGGGCCCCGGGCTCCTGGAATAAGTTGTGCCTGGCAACTCTTTTAAACACTGATGTGTCCAACCCTATGGAGTATGAGTTCAACTTCCAGCTGGAGATCCGCGGGCCATGTCTGCTTGCAGGTGAGAGGGAGCTGTCCAGACGGGGTGGGAGGGCTGCAGGCCAAAAGCCAAAAGCTGCCAGGGATGGGACGGGGATGGGCAGGGAAGCTAACTGATCCAGATGGCAGACCAGCTGAAGCACACAAAGCCTGTGGACCCCGATTTCCCATGGCCCCAGCAAGCAGCCCAAAGATGTGTCCCTTCCCAGGATGGATTTCAAGGCCACTGACTTCCACCCCAATGGCTTCCTTGGGAAAACGTCCACGGGGAATGGTGGCCCTTGGTCCTCTCCTAGAGGCCACAGCTGTAAAGCTGCTTCCTGGTTCTCACCTTGTCTGCATGTCAGAAGCACCCAGAGACATCCTGCAGCCTAGATCCCACCCCCAGAGATTCTGGGGTGTGTTCCAGGCACGGAAACATTTAAAAGCTCCCCAGGAAGTTCTAATGTGTAAGTAGGTTGAGAACCATTGCTCTGAAGTTCTCCCCCAGCCACTCAGAGCTTTCAAAGGACACTAGGATGTGGTTTCTTGTCAGTGCGTGCTTTCCTAGAGCAATGCTGCATTCCAGTGCGAGGCGCATTTATGGAGCACCCATCAAAACAACGCCCTTCAACAGAGCACTGGGCACCATCTGCTTGGCAGCATGCTGGGGGCTGTGCGTGCCCTATAAGGACCCCCCACTACACCCTGAGTTCAGAGCAGGAAGAGCCATCAGACACAATCTATCTAAGCCTGCATTTTACAGGTGGGGAAATTGAGGCAGCCTGGCCATAGTCACACTGCAGGTTAAGAACCCCTAATGGGGCTGGCATGTCACTCTTCTCTGGCCTGGGTCTTGGTGTGCTCCAGCCAACTCCTGTCTCTCCTGACCTCGTGAGCTTATATCCCCCTTGCCTTTTTATGCCACTCAGGGGTGGAGAGTCCCACACATGAGATTCGTGCTGACGCCGCCCCATCTGCCCGCTCTGCCAAGAGCATCATCATCACCTTGGCCAACAAGCACACCTTCGACCGGCCCGTGGAGATCCTCATCCACCCAAGCGGTACGGTGCCCTGCAACAGGCCCCTGGGCTGCCTATGGGAGGGAGGAAGAGGTGCTGATCCTGTGGGGACAGACCACGTGGCCCCCTGCCCAGCAGTTAGCTAGCCAAGGAGAGGGTCAGGGGTGGGTGTGGCCAAAGAGAGGAGACCCACTACGTGCCTCCCAGGAAAGTTGGCTCTAGCTGGCAGAATCAAATGTCTCCTGCCCTGATTCAAGCTCCAGAGGCCCAGGGTCTCATCCCCCCATCAGGGCACTTCACCCCCAGACCAGCTGAGCAGAGGATCTTTGAAACCCAAAGCTCAGTGAGACCCTGGAAATTCTGTACCCTCAAGGAGAAATTCTTGTCTGTTCAAGAATTCACAGAATGTCAGGACCTAAGCACATCAGAGAGTCGTTTTACCCCATCCCACTACCATTTCACAGATGGCTTCACTGAGGCCCAAAGAGGGGCAGTGGGTCACCTATGGCCACTAGGCTCCCCTGCCTCCCAGCTAAGGTGTCTTCCCAAGCCCTACACTGCTTCAGGCAGCCAGGGTTTCTACCCCCTTCCAACTGGGAATCCCACCCCTGTGAGAATCTTGCACCTAAACCAAAGCCCCCAGCATCCCTCTCCTATGATACCTGGCCAAGTGCTGAGAGTCAATCTCATCTCTGCAGAGCCCCATATGCCCCATGTCCTGATAGAGAAAGGGGACATGACGCTGGGAGAATTTGACCAGCACTTGAAGGGAAGAACAGATTTCATTAAAGGGATGAAGAAGGACAGCAGTGCAGAGCGAAAGGTGAGGGCAACTGAGGCGGGGAGCGGATGGTGGCAGAGTTGGGGCGGCACTGAGGCCTGGTCTCCACTGAACTAGTGAGGTGGGGAGGTGACCTGTTTGAGGTCACCCAGAAAGCTGGAGGCGGACACCAGGCAAGAAGCATTTCCTGGCCAGGCACGGTGGCTCACGCCTGTAATCCCAGCACTTTGGGAGGCCGAGGCGGCGGATCACGAGGTCAGGAGTTCAAGACCAGCCTAGACAACATGGTGAAACCCTATCTCTACTAAAAATACAAAAATTAGCTGGGCGTGGTGGCATGCACCTGTAATCCCAGCTACTCAGGAGGCTGAGGCAGGAGAATCGCTTGAACCTGGGAGGCAGAGGTTGTGGTGAGCTGATATCATGCCACTGCACCCTAGTCTGAGTGACAGAGCAAGACTGTCTCAAAAAAAAAAAAAAAAAAAAAAAAAGTGTATTTCCTTCCATGGAGCCTGGGGCACTGCAGGGAGCTTTCAGATGCCCCATCATCCTGGCTCTGTTCCCGCCTTTTGCAGGTCACCTTTCCCAGGACCTCACAGGTGCCTAAGCCAAGCAGGTTCACATATGGTGTCAGAAATGGCCTTGGCCTCCTCCGGGCCTCTGCACTTCCAGGGGCACCCAGGACCCTTCTCCTCCTTACCTTCTGGGCCTACCTTTCCTACCAGCTGAGTAGCTTCTTGCTCTTCCTCCCTCTGGGGCCTTTGCTTGCTATGACATAAAGGACAAAGACAGAGCCGGGAAAGCCTGAGAAAGATCCTTTCCTTCTGCTGTCCCCCACCCCATGAAGCTATAGGACAAGGAGGCCTGGCCAGGGGGCGGGGGTGGAAAAGGGAACGTTGGAGGCTGAGCACCAGCCACAGGTCATGCCCAGTGCTCTGCCTCCCACTCATGGTCCTGCACACTGAGCCGGGTCCTGACTGCCATGAGAGGTTTCAGAATGATGGCTCATCTCTCTGCATTAGCCCCATTTTTAGATCAGAAAACTGAGATCTAGCACCCAAAGATCACCAGTGAGCTGGAGAAAGGGAAAGACGCTTACCTCAGAAGTTAGAACGGGTGACCAGGAGGCTAAGGGATGAGACTGGATTCTGCGGGGGCAGTTGAGCTGGGTTTCACACCACCAGCCATGCTGTGCTCGTCTAGCTGGCACAGGGCAGTGGCAAGGTGGGGAAGTGGACAGGGATGCTGCTGGAAGCCGCTGCTCTCCCAGAGGTGCCCCTCAGCCGGACGAGTCAGGTGGGAGAAGAAGCTGGAGGCGGGTTCTCAGAGTAGGGGACGGCAATGCCAGAGATCCCACCGAGGTCAGAACTGCCGCCCCGCGGGCCTCCCAGGCCTGGGGCTGGCTGCCCTCCCTGCCAAGCCTTAAATCAATTAGCTTAGGGACTGTTGAAGCCAATGATTTTTCATTTGCCACCTCGGGTTGGTTATGCAAATAGCCTGTATTCTCACAAACTCCGGGGATGACAGCGATCAACCCGCAGCTGCTAAGAAGTGATGAGTTTATTATAATTGGATGATGGCAGCTTGGGGAGACATTAGAGAATCCTGAGCCAGGGCACCCACCCCGTCCCTCTGAGAGGCAGAGAAGGTTTCTGGAGGCGGTTTCTCTCACTGACAGATGTGGCTGCTGCTGCCTTGGGCTCTGTTATTGAAAGAGCCAGGCTGGGCTGTGGCCTCTGGAGGAGGGGCTTCATGTAGGAAAGAGAGAGAGAGATCCCTTGGCAGGGACGGGAGTTGAGGGTATCCACAGGGTGAACATCAATCAGGAAGAGTGGGTGGGACTAGCTGTCAGAAACCCTGGCTTAGCAAGGAGAGGGCAAATCGCACAGAAAGACACACCACGCCCAAGAGGCAGAGACGCCAAGAGAAACAGAGGTTGAAAAAAATATATATATATGTACACACAGGTCAGTGGCAGGCAGAAAGGCCCACACAGATTCATTCCACACAGATTTATTTATTCATTCAACAAATAAATCTTAGGAGACAATACTGAGAATGACACAGTCTTTATCTTCACGGAGCTCATATTCAGGAGAATCGCTAGAACCCAGGAAGCGGAGGTGGCAGTGAGCCGAGATCACACCACTGCTCTCTAGCCTGCGCGGCAGCGCAAGACTCCGTCTCTAAAGTAATCAATTAATTAATTTTTAAAAACCACCAAGGTGCTGCCCTTCCTTTCATCTTTACCGATGCATCTCTGGACCAGGTCCTGTGTTAAATTCCTCAGATGTAAAAGAGGCTAAGGGATGGACAGACAGAGGGAAAAAAGCAAATCAATGAGCCAAATCTATTTGGAGGGGGATGGTGTGATCATGAGTGGTAGGTGCTGGGTGTTCTTCAGCTGGGTGTCAGCAAAAGCCTGTCTGAGGATAGGACCTGGCAGATGGCAAAGAGCCCACCATGGGAGGAATGAATGGGTGGAGAGGGTACAAGGGGGAAAATCAGGAAGCAGAACATTGGTGACCTATTTGGAAAACGAAGAAGGCCAATGTGGCTGAAATGTAGGGAGCAGAGTCGGTAGAGAGGAGGTGGCCAGGTAGGCAGGGGTCAGGCCACAGGGGGCTTCCTAAACCATGGTTCAGAGTGTTCAGGGAGGGCACTGCCTGAGCAAGAGAATGACAAGAACAGTCGCTCTGCAGAATGGACCCCAGGGAGATAAAAGTGAGACAAAGAGCAGGAAGGGACTATTGCAAAGGTCCAGAGAGAGATGGTCCTCTCCTGAACTTGGGCGGTAGCAGTGGAGACAGTGAGACGTGGACGGGTTCAGGCTGCGTCTTAGCAGCGGGACTGGTAATGCTTTGCTGCAGGATGGAATGTGTGGAGTGAGGAAAAGAGGGGAACCGAGGACAACTGTTAGGCGTTTGGTTTGAACAACTGGGTGGGTGGTGATGTCGTCTATTGAGTTGAGGAAGGAAGCCAAATAGACAGAAACTGAGAAACGGACACAGAGACACGTGTAAACAGAGACAGCCAGATAAGGGGACAGAGAGAGAAAGCTGGAGTGGAGAGAGAAAGCAGCATGAGAACAAAGGAAATGAAACTCTTTTTGGAGTGGAGGCGGAGAAGCAAGGGGGAGGACCCTGGCCTCAGGGCCAGCTAGGAGGCCATATAAAAAGATAAACGGCCAGGCCAGGCGAGGTGGCTCATGCCTGTAATCCTAGCACTTTGGGAGGCCAAGGCGAGTGGATTGCCTGAGCTCAGGAGTTCGAGACCAAGGCAACACGGTGAAACCCCATCTCTACTAAAATACAAAAATTTGGCCAGGCATGGCAGCGTGCACCTGTCGTCCCAGCTGCTCAGGAGGCTGAGGCAGGAGGAATGCTAGAATCCAGAAGGTGGAGGTTGCAGTGAGCCGAGATCACACCACTGCAATCCAGCCTGGGCGACAGAACAAGAATCCGTCTCTAAAATAATTAATTAATTAGTTATCCATCTCTGGACCAGGCTCTCTGTTAAATTCCGGAGACGTAAAAGAGGCTAAGGGATGACCTGCCTTCAAGTATAATAGCAGACAATTTGGCAGGAGGCAGAGATCAGAGCAAACGCTGTATTCAGTATGGGAAGTGCGTGGGCTTCCGGGACCAGCAGAGCAGTGGCAGTGACAATGATGGCTGCTGTTTAGAGACAAGTGCTCTCTGCCAGGCAGCCAGCTTCACAAGTGCCCTGAACCCATGCAGCAACTCAGTGAGGTGTGCCTTCTTGTCCTCATTTCATGGATGAGGAAACTAAGTAATTAAGTCTACCTGGAAATTGGGGAAGGCTTTCCAAACAGACAGAATTTGAAGAGCGAGCAGGAATTTAACAATGGGAGAGAATCGGTAAATCAGGGAAACCCAGGTCACAGCCAAGACGAGCCAGAGAGCAGGTTATACACCAAGTGGAAACACGGGAGACCATTATTCAACCAAGGGGCTTCCCATGTCTGTGCTGACTCAGTTCATCCTCACAACCACCCTGAAAAGTGGACATTATTTGCCCCACTTTGCAAATGGGTAAATAGACCCAGAGGAGGGACTCGCCCCATATCACACAGTTGGATGGTGACAGAGCTGGGATTCAAACCCAGGTCTTTCTGCTTGCAAAGTCCATGCTTGCTGTTGTAACCGGTGAAGGTGTAGCAAACAGAGGAGCTGAGCACAGTCAGCCCGGAAGTCTTCTGTGCAGACCCTGAGCCGGATGTGGATGCATGGTGAGTGACGGGGACCAGCGTGAGTCCCCAGGAGAACCTCTTGGCCCCCTGATTGTCCAATCAGAGTGTTCCTTTCTCCTCCAGACAGAAATCATTCGAAAGCGCCTCCACAAAGACATTCCCCACCACTCCGTCATCATGCTCAATTTCTGCCCCGACCTCCAGTCAGTCCAGCCGAGCCTGAGAAAGGCCCACGGGGAGTTCATCTTCCTCATTGACAGGAGCAGCAGCATGAGCGGGATCAGCATGCACCGCGTCAAGGTACCTGCTGAGAGCACCCCCCACCCAGGGCCCAGGGCTCCAGGGCAAATCAGCTGTGCGCCCCTAGCCCAGCTTCTTCAGCACTGTCTGTTCCAAGAAACAAATTTTAAAAATCAATTTAAACATAGACACCCAAACTCCATTTGCTTCCCCAAAAAAACATGAAGTGGTGTGAGCAGAGGCGGAGCTGGCATCTATTTATAAGGGAAGAAGTCACCCATAGCTGTCCTTTGCACTCCACAAACGTTAGCTAAAACACCCCAGTAGGTACTGAGTGGAGCAGGGTACAGAGAAGACAGGAAGGGAAGTAACATTTGCTGAGGGTCTGCTGTGTGTTGAATACGGTACTAGCCACTTAATTTATGTACAGCTTGGTATCTAACCCAGACAGTTATCCTATGAGTTTGATCCTATTTTTACCATTTTCCAATTAGGAAAACTGATCTTGAGCGTTTCAGTCACTTGCTGAAGGTCACCTAGCCAGTGTGGTCTGAGATTAAACCCATGTCTACCTGACTGTTCCCACTACCTGATGTCAGAGCTTCAGTGGACATGGCCCCTGCCATCAAGGAATGTGTAGAATTTCATTAGAAAAGATTGGTTTCTCTTTTTTTTTAAACACCTAATAGGTGCCAAGCCTTGCCCTTGACCATCTGGAAAAACAGGAGAATGTAAACACAGTGCCTGTCCTCAAGGAGCTGACAGTCAAGTGAGGAGCACAGGACTGAGAGCCAATCAGAATGTGTGGGAGCTTGGTCTCCCTGCTAAGGAGAGCTCCTCAGGAGTGTGGAAGAAACAGTGATAGAACCGTACCCCCCCACAGTCTAGACGACTTTCACCTGCCCCCTGCCCCACCCCCAGGAGATTATTCATCTCGATCGTGGCATTATCCAACACTGCCTTGTATTTTTGGTTGGGCAGATGTCTCTCTCTGGAGTTAGGAACTCATTTAGAACAAGGGTCATCTATCCTCTCACCTCCCTCTTTCCATGGGACCTAGCTCTGTGTTTATGCATAAAAAGCCTTCCATCTCTTTACTGACCCAGGTAAAGGATAACTGAGTTCAGGAGAACAGGGAAGGAGGGACAAGAACAGAGTGGGGCTCTGTCGTCACCTGAAATTTCATCTTTCCCAGACCAAGCTGTTGTTTCTAGGGCAACAAGCTCAGCAAGGAGAGGAGGGTTGGGTGAGATCTGGGAGGCCAGCTATCTCTGCAGGCTTGCTACAATTGTCCTGAAGTATGACAGAGAAGTCATACACGGGACCCAAGTTCCTGTTTGAGGCCTCATGACACGGGGAGGCAGGGCTGATTGCACCTCCTTCCCCAGCCTGCCCACCATCAAAGGCAAACATTGGAATGAGAAGCTGTCCTCGGTGCTGGAGTGCTGAAGCCCACTCCAGGCCTCTGTGGCCATCTGTACCCCATTCCACAGCTACGTCAGTTCACAAGATGTCTCCGTTACCCTAGAGCATCACAGAAGCATAAACCTAAAACATGGCTTAGGGAACATTTAGTCCATTTTCCCTCCATTTTCCAGGTAAAGAAACTTGAGTGCCCAAGAGGCTAAGTGCTTTTCCCAGCACTGCAGGGCTAGTGAGGGAGCCTGGGCCTTCTATATCTTGCTTCAGAGCTCATTTTTCTTAACATTGCTTATGGAGAATGATGCATACTCTTCCACTAAAAAATTCTCTTCTCTGATGATGTCATTTCTGCTGCATGGCATCGTGTCAAGAGCGACACCTGGGTTCCAGGATCAGTTCTGCCACTGATTTGCTCCGTGGCTGTGGATGAGTCAATTTTCAACTCTGGGCTTCATTTATCCGTTCCGTAAAGTGAGAAGGAAGGATCAATTCAGGCAGAGTGAACGTATGTTACATGTCCCTCCACTCCCCTCTCCCGAGCCCAGGTAGACATCAATAATTGATAATGAGTATTTTTTCTGCTGAGCCTAGACTCAGGCTATATTCTTCTCATCTCAGTGTTCCAGGCAGTTACTACCAGTTAAATGGAATTGGTTCATAAATGGAAATCCACTTCCTGGGCTGAAGTCCTGTCCAATCTTTGCATTCCAGAATTCTCTGACAATAACTTTCTCTGGCTTTCCTTTTAGTCGCCTTTCTTCTTGGAATCTCTCCTGCCCTTCTCCAGTTCAGCTCACTGAGCTCAAGGTCATTCCTTCACAAATGGCTTTGCTCTGGTGCCATCCATCCTGCTAAATATGACCCTTTTAGAGAAAGGCACAGAAATTACTCAGGCTACACATCCCTTTCCCCACTGACAATGAGGGCACTGGAAGGTTGCTTGGGTCATAAATTGTGACCCATGGGTTGAAGTTTTAGGAAAATCTAGGCTCAGGGAGGAGAGAGAAAATAGAAATCCAAACAGCCTATGCCAAAGGGGAAAGTCCAGCCAATTTAATTTCCTGCAGCTGGTCTCATTCTTCAGCTGCCACTTGCTGCCAAAAACGTGGCTTTAAAATTTCTAATAGGTGTGAGCAGAGACAATCTGTGTGGATCAGCAGAATCTCCTCCTAGCAGGAAGATGCATTCGTGACTAATGAAAAAATAAGCAGACATTGACTTCTTTTGTAGAGAAACCAAATGTATTGATGCAAGCAATGAAGAGAGAGAGAATGTGAATGTGAACGTTTAATGTTAATGTTTGGGGGGGGGGATGGGATTGGGTGTGAATACTTGGAGCCTGGAAATCCATGTGGTGTAAAAGTTGCCAGAATCCACTTGCAGCTGTCTCCTTCTAGATCCTGAAGTATGACAGCTTCCCTGAAGCTATGCTGAGATCCCTGGGGTACTATCAGTAAACAAGATGGGGGACACGGGGGCCAGGGGAACACAGACTTTCATTCCTCTGCCAAGGCAGAGCCAACATGAATAAAAATCTCACAGCTGTGTTTTTAAAGCCTCAGTCATTAGTCTTAGGTTTTGTGACCCAGTGCAATTCCTTAGCTGTCTTGAGCCTCAGTTCCCTTATCTGTAAAATAGCGTTATTAATATTAATATAGATCCCATTGGGTTGATAATCATAACCATTTACTGAATATTTACTATGCACCAGGCTGAGGCTCAGAGGGGTGACATAACTTAGAACATTTAGCAGGTAGTAACAGCTTGATATTTACCACTATTGCATTGTATTATAGCCGTCATCACCATCATGATCATCATCATCAATTTGGCTTCTACCATCACCTCCACCTCCCTCGTTGTACTGTTTTGTTTTCTTTTTTTCAATCTACCTTCATCAAGGTCTCCTGGTGGTGCATAGTTACATGGGTTATGTTTAGTCTTCATAGATTTTGGAGGGAAACTGAGATGGCTTTGAGTCCTGACTCCATTATTTACCCTCTGGATGCTCACCAACACATTACCTCACGTCTCCGTGCCTCAATCTTCTCTTCTATAAAATGGGGATAGTAGTGTGCCTGCCTTGAGAGTTATGATGAAGATCAGTGAGGTGATGCATGTAAAGTACGTCCTATGCACCTGACAAATATGGCTAGAGAGACTGCCCCTGAGGATGCGTCCTTGGGTGGTGACTGTTAGGTTGACTGATGCAGAAGGTCCCACAGAGGGCCAGAAGCCATTCCATCAACAGCATGACCGGGACCAGGCCACTTTCCTCCCTTAGACATCAATTCTGCTTTGACAGCAGGGAGCGGCTCTCCCCGCCTCTCAGGATCAGCAAGAAGTTAAATGGAACTGGCAATACAGTTATTATATTGTAGTAGTATATAGTATTATAATCTAGTTTTGCAGACCTATTGCTTATGAAATGTTTGCCCACTTCCTCCCACTGTTCACTCCCATCCTCAAAGCTGCTTTGTCTGAGAACCACTTTCCCTTTAGAGAGGATTTATGATCACTGCTCTAATGCAGTCCAGAGGGGAGTCCTGGAAGCTCGCTTTCCCCAACACATCGCATATGTACTTGCGACAAAATCAGTTACCTAGTGAGTTAAAACCCTGTAATTGCAATTGCAAAAGGAAAATTACTCAAACACATTGGCAAGCCATAATAGAAAGGTTTTAAGAAGTCAGATCTGCTACATGGATAAATTTAATGATGATGATGATGATGATGATGGTGGTGGTGATGGTGGTGGTGGCGGCTTTGGTCCAGCCTCTGGTCAGTGTCAGCAAATTTCTTGATGTGGGGAAAAAGAGTTGCTGGGTGCAGACAGAGGAGGGTAGAGGCCCGTTTGGAGGCTGTTCCTGCACTAGGAAAGGGAATACTGGGGTGTGGTGGCTGAGTGGCAAGAGCTCCTTCTTGAATCTTGAAAACTTTCGCTCCTGCCAGGATGCCATGTTGGTGGCCCTTAAGAGCCTCATGCCAGCCTGTCTCTTCAATATCATTGGGTTTGGATCCACATTTAAGAGCCTTTTTCCTTCCAGCCAGTCCTACAGTGAGGTAAGGAGGGGGCAATGTTGGGACCAGGAGGGGGGTGCATGGTGGGGAGAAGAGGAAAGGAAGGAAAGGGGGAAAAGTAGGTAAAACCCGAGGGCTGGCCTCAGAAGCTGCCTACCCACGGAGAACCCAGATCACACCCGGGGGCAGAGAACTAAAGAGAAGCTATCTGTGTTTGGACATTTTTCTGACATCTCAGCTTTCTGACATCCCCCGCTCTTTAGAATCAAACTATTTTGGGCAAAGTATGTGTGTGTGCAGAGATGAGGTACAGAAAGTGGGTAGAAAGAGGACATAGCCCAGGCCTGCCACTCACTGAAGCCTCTGTTTCACACGGAGGATGGACTCATGCAAGGTTGAACTAAGGAAGTGGATGATAAGAAGTAGGGGAGTGAATAGGTGGGTGAGTGCGCATGGCAGTGGTCTAAGAATGGAACTCACAAGGCTCAAGATACAGTGTGAAACAAGAGGGCTGTGGCCCCAGCAGCATGTTCAAAATTGGAGCATCCTACCCAGATCTAAGAAGAGGAAGAGAGGGAGGGAGGAAGGAAGGAAAGGAGGGAGGAAGGAAAGACAAATGGGACACTTTTCAACTAAAAATAATGTTATGAGTTTTAAAAATACAACAATAATATATGTTGCAGGCGCTTGTAGTCTCAGCTACTTGGGAGGCTGAGGTGGGAGGGTCGCTTGAGCCTAGGAGTTTTGAGTCCAGCCTGGGCAGCACAGTGGGACCTCACTTTTACGAACAACAATGACAAAAGAATAATAGATATTGATTTTTTCACAATTTTTAAATGTAGATATGAAAAACAACATTTTAAAAAAATCTCCTGTGATTATGTCAGTCAGGAAAAAAGGAAGAAAAGACACTGCTAAGAGCTTCGTATAAATCCTTCCAGCCCTTGTTCTATGCATTTACACACACTCTTAATAAAGATAGGATTAGGCCTTCCATACTGTTCTGTCACCTACTTTTCTAACGCAGCAGTCTATCATGCGTGTATTTCCATGCCAGTGAGTATTAATCTGTAACGTAATTGCAATGGCTTCCTAGTATTTCACTACACAGATAGATGGGGACTTATATTAAAAAACTCCTGCAGTCAGGCATTAAAGTTCTTCCCATTTTATTTAGTCATCTGTGTATCACAGATTTTGCATGCATCCTTAATTATTCCCTTAGGATTAATTCCTAGCCTTGCTGGCTCAAAAGCTATACGTACATCTTAAGACTTTTGATACATGCTGTTGCTGCTTTTTTTTTTTTTTTTTTTTTTTTTTTTTTTTTCTCTCCCTCTGTTGCCCAGGCTGGAGTGCAGTGGTGCGATCTTGATCTCAGCTCACTGCAAGCTTTGCCTCCTGGGTTCAAGCGATTCTCCTGCCTCAGCCTCCCAGGTAGCTAGGATTACAGGCATGCCCACCACACCTAGCTAATATTTGTATGTTTAGTAGAGACAGGGTTTCACCATTTTGGCCATGCTGGTCTTGAACTCCTGACCTCAAGTTATCCACCCCCCTTAGCCTCCCAAACAAGCTGTTACTTCTAAGTCCCATCCAAGAGTGGATGTTGAAATAGAATCCCCCTAAACCAGGAGGAGGAAGTGAACGTGTCCGGTGGGAATCTACTCTTGCTGCAAATGACATCCATCCTTGGCCAGTTGGGACCCACATTGTTAGTCCAGGAGCAAGGAAATCTGAAGCCGGGATTAGAGAAATGATTTTCTCAAAATGTCATAGAGGGCTGGGGCCAGAGTCAGTCTCCGGACTCAGATCTTAAGATTCCTAGTCCGGTGTTCTTTCCACCACACCACCGACCTCCCTCATCAGAAAAAGAAACCTCATGTATGCTGAAGAATCAGAGGTTTCATGTGCTACCTCTTCCCAGAGTGCTTCTATTTTTAAAGGGGAACCCAGAAAGGACAGCAGCTTGGCGTTTCAGGCACGGGTAGTGGGTGCTGTTGAGCAGGATGACACCAAATGAGTGGCTACCCATTCTTCCTATAAGTGGGCGGGGATGAAATTGGGAGCATGGGTCAACTCTGGTGAGGTTTAAAGAAGATCTAGGGAAACAAAGGCCTCTTCCCAGGGTGGTCTAGAGTCTCTGTGCCATACGGTGACCCTGGGGACTGTCTGCTTCTCTGCAGGAGAGTTTGGCCATGGCCTGTGATAACATCCAGAGAATGAAGGCCGACATGGGTGGCACCAACATCCTTTCCCCTCTCAAGTGGGTCATCAGGCAGCCAGTGCACCAAGGCCACCCTCGGCTACTCTTCCTGATCACAGACGGCGCTGTCAACAACACGGGGAAGGTGCTGGAGCTGGTGCGAAATCACGCCTTCTCCACCAGGTCAGCCTAGGCTGCGGGTCTAGGCTCCGTGACTCCAGTCTGCCGGGGCTGGGGCACCAGAGCCCAAGGGAAATATGGAAAATGCCAGAGGGAGAGGACGGGCCCCACAATTCCCATAGGACTTTGCTTCCAAGATAGTGTGGGCTGATTTCAAGTTCACCTTTTTCCCTCTCAAGTCAGAAAGGGTGAGCTACCCATGCCTCTGCACATGACTCCTAAGAGCAACCCAGGGAGAGGTCCCACAGCCAAGGGAGAGGCTGCTCCCACTCTGTGCTCAGTGGGACTTGATGGGCTGTCTGTGGGTGAATCGATGGGTGTGAATGTGGGTGCCCCCTCATGGCCCCTCTTCCTTCTCCCTCTCCCTTTACCTGAAGATAGGGCCAGCTCCAAGATCCTGCTGGGTCATGCCATGTCCCTTTCCCCATCAGGAGACAAAGATGCAGAGAAGATGAGACGTAATAGCCTCTCTTCTCACCTCCTTCAGGTGCTATAGCTTTGGAATCGGACCCAATGTCTGCCACAGACTGGTGAAAGGGCTGGCATCTGTGTCCAAGGGCAGTGCTGAGTTCCTGACGGAGGGAGAGCGGCTGCAACCCAAGGTAGGCAACAGAACCCCCACCGTCCCTTCTGATGCTGGAACCTCAGAGGCCCATACCAGTCATATGGCAACTCAGTGGTGAAACTGGGGCTGTCACCCCAAATCTGAGCTCTCCACTGGGCCACATTGCACCCCGATGAAAACCAAAGAGACTTGTAAGCCACAGACCAGGCAACTCTTGAAGCAATGCCAGGATGCAGATCCCCTGGTATCCAGCCACTGGACACACACTCCATCCACTGCTGGATAGGATGAGGCTCTTGAGAAAGCTGCCACCTATATGGATTGGAGTTGTGTTTGAGGTCCATATCTGGCCACATTCTTGAAGATGACAAATGGTGGCTCAGAAGAATCTAAAGAAGCCAGAAATAAAGGAGGTCGTAGTCTTCCTTCCATGTCCTGCATATTTGACATGAATAATCTAACCCTTAGAAAATCCCCTTGTCAGTCCAGTAAACAGAGACAGGGCTGGGGTAAAGAGTGAAGGGGTTTATTGGGAATGGTGTCTATGAAAGGTGGAAGAGGAGGAAGCAGGAAGAAAGCTCTTCAAGCCAAGAGGATGATCCAACAGCTGGGAAAGCAAAGTGGGAGCAGAATTGGACAAGAGGGCCTCAGACTGTGACGCCCTGGCAAGGTCTCAGCCATCCAGCGGGGAGCTCTGGAGCAAAGGTTGCCCATCAAAGTCTGCGACATGCTTAAATGACTGGGGTCTAGTGTCCCTGCCATGATGAATCATTGGCTGGGGGCTTCCAGGGAGAGATATGGTCTTGGCTCAAAAGCTGGGGTGCTGCATCTGGAAGCTGTCACTTAACTGCATTTCTTGCAAGAAGGAGGCATGGTCTTTCTTGAAGGGAGATTTGAAAGCTCACCTCTATAATTGCCACAGCTCTAAAGTCATTTTCTCCAGGTTTGCAGTACGGGACATCCAAGGAAATCAGTCTAGATGATGACCATAGCTGTCATTTACTGAACACCTACCACATGGCAGATACTTCAAATTCAGTATGGCAAATCCTTCAACTACATCCTCCCACTTTAACAGAAGGGGATAAAGGCCCAGAGAGGCAAATGAACTTGCTCAAGATCATTATTCAGTCCATGCTCTGACACAAACCTGTGTGCCCTTGGGCTAGTCACTGCCCTACTTTGAGCCTCAGATTTTCTCATTTATAAAATGCTAAACTGGCCAGGCGCACAGTGGCTCATGCCTGTAATCCCAGTACTTTGAGAAGTCTAGGCAGGTAGATGACCTGAGGCCAGGAATTTGAGACCAGCCTGGCCAATTTGGTGAAACCCCATCTCTACTAAAAATACAAAAATGAGGCAGGAGTGGTGGTGGGTGCCTGTAGTCCTTACTACTGAGGAGGCTGAGGCAGGAGAATCACTTGAACCTGAGAGGTGGAGGTTGCAGTGAGCTATCATGCCACTGCACTCCAGCCTAGGCAACAAAGCCAGACTCTGTCTCAAAATAAAATGAAAATAAAATAAAATAAAAATGCTAAGCTTAGAAAAGGTGACAGCAAAGATCCTCTCCAACTCTGACATTCTAGGAGTCTAAGAAGCTCAGAGGTGTACTCACTGCTGGGCAAGTGAGGTGTGCTCACTGCCAAGCCCTGCTGTCCCTTCTTCCCTGCTCCTACTCCCCACTAAGCTCATACTTACGTGGGCTTCTGTACACGTCTCTTCTCACACATCCCCCAACCTGTGTTCTGACCCTGCCCTACAGATGGTCAAGTCCTTGAAGAAGGCCATGGCCCCAGTCCTGAGTGATGTGACTGTGGAGTGGGTCTTCCCCAAGACCACTGAGGTCCTGGTCTCACCCATCAGTGCCAGCTCCCTCTTCCCTGGAGAACGGCTGGTGGGGTATGGCATTGTCTGTGATGCTTCCTTACACATCTCTCATCCCAGATCTGTAAGTATCCTGGAAACTCCAGGGGTCCATGGGGGTCCAGAACCCATGCCTACAAATCATCCTTAGCTGGAAAGACTATTTGTGGCAGCTAGAAACTCATTGGAACTGGGTTTACAGTTGTAGGTTTACAGTTTACCCAGTTGAGGGTTACAGTTGCCAGACCACAGGCATTCACTTACAGTGACATGGCTAAGGTAGATGCCACCATCCCAAAAATGTGGTTCTTAAGAGCCCCTGCAGTAGAACCACTTGGAGAACTTGTTTAAAATGCAGAGCTGTGGGAGGCCGAGACAGGAAGATCGCTTGAGGTCAGGAACTTAAGACCAGCCTGGTCAACAGGGTGAAACCCCATTGTCTCCTAAAAATACAACAAAATTAGCCAAGCATGATGGCAGGCACCTAGAATCCCAGCTACTCAGGAGTCTGAGGCAGGAGAATCACTTGAACCTGGGAGGCGGAGTTTGCAGTGAGCCAAGATCGTGCCATTGCACTCCAGCCCGGGTGACACAGTGAGACTCTGTCTTTAAAATAAATAAATAAATAAATACATATCCCTAGCTTCCACCCAGGTCTGTTGAATAAGAATTCCCTAGGATAAAACCCAGGAAACTTCATTTTCCATCATCTCCCCTAAGTGATTTGTTCTTCAGTTCAAGAACAAATGCACTTCGATTTCCTTCACACACTCTAGTCAGCTCATATCTTCTTAGATGAGTTTGTCTTTTATTTCTTTACGTGGATGATTCGCTTGTCCATGGTGGTAGAAGTGGGTTAAAAGCCAAGAACTTCCGAAAGGGAGGTGAAATTCATACTAAAATGTGAGAGATTGCCCAAGAAGCTGTTTCCTCACCTAACTTTCCTCTTTCACAAGTCTGTCCACTTTAAAGTATTTCTCGTCTTGTTTTTTTTAAAAAAGAAGTCACAAACTCAATGTCTAGAGACATTGGGCAGGTGTGGAATGAATGAAATGGACTCGGTATAAAAATAAAAGGGGCCAGTGCTGTGATGGATAGCAGTTACCGCTGAGCTCACAGTTGGAGAGGCAATAAGGACTGGTGAGGAATATGGCAAACTGGTTAGCACACTGGCAAACCGTCTAAACTGGGCAGCCCCAACACAGCCCTAACAAAGTGTCATCATGCAGAAATGCGAGCCTTATGTTAAATGTGTGTCTAATTTTTCAGGAGAAATTGGAACGTTATGTGAAAGCTCCAGATTTTTGAATGTTATAAAATGTTTTAAGAACTGTGATCAAGGTGATGGTTAATGTGTTATGGAGAGTGGAGTGTTCAGCAGCAGGGAGAAAATGCTAAACAAAATGCTGGCCAAGTCCTTGCACAGTCCAGGCCTTCCTGGGAGGTCTAGAAGGCACGAGTTCATCAGCAGACCCTCCCACTAGAAGGGACTGGATGCAGTCATCAAATCCATTCTCCTTTTCTTACTCAGTACTGGCAGAGTTTGCCCTGCTACTGGTAGGGATATTGAATAAAGAGGATCTTCACGTATTGTTGGTATAAATATAACTCGCCACAGCCCTCCTCGAAAGCACTCTAGAAATGACTAATAAAATTAGAGATAGGCCGGGCAAAGCCTGTAATCCCAGCACTTTGGGAGGCTGAGGCAGGGATCACCTGAGGTCAGGAGTTCGAGACCAGCCTGGCCAACATGGTGAAACCCTGCCTCTACTAAAAAAAAAAAAAAGACAAATTAGCTGGGTGTGGCATCAGGCACCTGTAATCCCAGCTACTCTGGAGGCTGAGGCATGAGAATCGCCTGAACCTGGGAGGTGGAGGTTACAGTGAGCCAAGATCATGCCACTGCACTCCAGCCTGGGGGATAGGGCAAGACTCTGCCTCCAAGACAAAAAGAAAAATTAGAGATACACAAACTTTTCAACCCAGAAATCCCACTCCTAGGAGTCTATCCCATAAAAATAAAAGCAATGTAATGGATTTATATCCCAGGACTTACTGTAGCATTTTTTTATGGTGACAAAAATCAATGGCCGCAAAATGAACGCTTAACAATAAGGGGTGGTAAAATGTTGTGTAGTCAGATGCTAAAAAGAATGGCTGGGGCCAGGCATAGTGGCTCACACCTGTAATCCCAGCACTTTGGGAGGCCAAAGTGGGAGGATGGCTTGAGGCCAGGAGTTCAAGACCAGCCTGGGCCACCTACGGAGACCACTTCTCTACAAAACACAAAAATGTAAAAAATTAGCCAGACGTAGTGGCACATGCTTGTAGCCCCAACTGTTCTGGAAGCTGAGGCAGGAGGATTGCCCGAGACCAGGAGGTGGAGGCTGCAGTGAGCTATGACTGTGCCACCGCACTCCAGCCCAGGTGCAGTGTGGAGACCCTATCTTTAAACAAACAAACAAAAGAATAGTGGAAATGCAGAATTTCCAAAATGTTTTCAGTGCAAAATTCAAGATACTGCTAAGTGTAAGTAGTCTGGTGAGGTTTTTAATAAAACAAAACATGACCCCCAAAAGCTGATGTGTTATTTATACATGGGGGGGTCGGTATCCCTAACTTCCGCATTGCTTGAACAATGCAGAAGTTAGGGATACCGACCCCCCCATGCAGTCAAAAATTCACGTACGACTTTTGACTCATTAAAAACTTAACTACTAATAGCCTACTGTTGACTGGATGCTTTATTGATAACATAAACAGTCAATTAACACGTATTTTGTGGGTTATATGTATTGTATGCTGTATTCTTACAATAAAGTATGCTAGAGAAAATAAAATGTTTTTAAGAAAATCATAAGGAAGAGAAAATACATTTACTATTCATTAAGTGGAAGTGCATCATCAAGGTCTTCATTGTCATTGTCTTCACATTGAGTAGTGGAGGAGGAGGGGTTGGTCTTGCTGTCTCAGAGGTGACAGAGGGAAGAAGTGGAGGAGGTGGACGGGGAACAAGAGGAGCTGACACTCAATGTAACTTTTATTGAAAAAAATCCATGTATAAATGGACCCATGCAGTTAAAACTTAGGTTGATCAAGAGTCAACTGTATGTTTATATCACAGACAACAGAATGAGAGGAACAGATGGTTTATTTTGTGAATTTTTGTTACCTATTTGGAAACAGGAGTGGCATTTAGAATTACATTTAAAAATGTTTTAATGAAGTCAATAGTTAAAAACATAACCTAAATGTTATGAAAAGATAATTCCATTCACCATCTCTTGAACAGAAGAGTATCTTAATACCCTAAACAAACAAAATGCTTTCCCATTGAGCTGATTCTTCGGAGATGAAGGCCCCACCACCTGTGCTCACACCCCTTGCTCCCTGCGGAAGCCGTTCCTGACCTCTAGCCTCACTCCTAGCCCTCTTTTCCCTACCTCCCTCCAGGACAAGAGGCAGCAGTACAGCATGCTGCACTCTCAGGAATTTGGCAGCTCCGTCTTCTACCACTCTCAGGATGAGGGACCCGGACCGGAAGGTGGAGACTGTGCCAAGAACTTGGGAGCACCCTTCATCCTGGGGCAGGCCAAGGATGCCCGGCTGGTCAGCAGAGACTCCGCGGCCAAGCACGGTTGGTCTACTGCTCTAATGATTGTTACCTGACGTTGAGCACTCACTATGTGCTAAGCGCTTGGTAAAAACCACCTCGTTGAATAGTTAGCAGCTGCAGAGGTGGGCACTGTTACACTCATTTGACAGATGAGGAAATTGAGACTTGGAAAATTTAAGCAGCTTAGCTAAGCTCATAGAGCTCAAAACAGCTAGAGTACAGACAAAGAATCTAGATCTCTCTGAGCCGAAGCCTCCTTACGGTGTTAGTTTCCATTCAGAGGGTATTTACCCAATTCCCTACTAAGGTTAGGGGCTGAGGGCAACATGGGAAGCAAAGATGACTGGGCAAGTCCCCTGCCCTTCTAGAGCTTTCCATGTAGTGAGAGACACGTCTGGCACTACCTCTGATAGAAAGCAGAATGACAGGGTGCCAGGGATCCCTAGAAAATTTAACAAGCTATGGGAATCCCAGGAAAAATTAGCACATCTGCTAGAGGATATCAACAAAGACTTCACAAGGGGACTGCTTCCTAGAGGCAGGAAGGGAGAGGAGGTTCCAGGCAGCAGAACTGCCTGAGCAGCAGTGTGGAGAGTGTGACACTCAGAACGCACACACACAATTGGCTTCTGATCTAGTGCGTTTGGCCCACTTTGTACCTTTTATTTTATTTTATTTTATTATTTTTGAGACAGAGTCTCGGCCTGTCACCCAGGCTGGAGTGCAGTGGCATGATCTTGGTTCACTGCAACCTCTACCTTTTGGGTTCCAGCAATTCTCTTGCCTCAGCCTCCCTAACAGCTGGGACTACAGGTGCACACCACCATGCCTGGCTAATTTCTGTATTTTTTGTAGAGATAGGGTTTCACCATGTTGCCCAGGCTGGTCTGGAACTCCTGGCCTCAAATGATCCACCCACCTCGGCTTCCCACAGAGCTGGGATTACGGAGATGTGAGCCATCACACCCAGGCACTTTGTACCTTTTAAAAGAAGCAGCAGGTGGAGTAGCTGGGAAGCTAGGCTAGGGCCAGATCTGGCAAGACTCTGGATGCCAGGGGAGGCACCGGCACATTCTTCAGTAGGCAAGCGATGGAGAACATGAGATGCTTCCAAACAGGAAAGGGGGATGCAAGCCCCTGTCTTTCCCTGCTGTCCCACTCTGATAGTTCCCCATCACTATCCCTGTCCAGATCTGAACCTCTCCCAGCGACGGAGGGCATACAGCACCAACCAGATCACCAATCCCAAGCCCCGCCCAAGGGCTACCACGGCGAGTGACCCCATGCCAGCTGCCAGGAGATACCCACTGCGGAAAGCCAGGCTGCAGGACCTCACCAACCAGACCAGCCTGGATGTCCAGCGGTGGCAGATTGATTTGCAGGTACCCAAGCAGGACAGTTTAGGGAGGAGCTGGGGAAGGTGACAGACAGGGGAGAGCTGTGTCCCCTGCTTCAACCACAGGACAGAGCCATCCACAACTTACACTGCTAAGTGAGTCACTCCCTTTCTCCTTTCTTAGCCCTTCATCTGCCTAACCTCTGAGTACATCTTCCAAATCAGGACATCCACCGGTCAATAAGCTCACTCATTCCCTGTACACACACTGCCCAGTTGACAAGGAACATTTCCATGCGCTCTTTCATTTGACTTTATAGCACCCCTGGGGAAGGAGAGAGCTTAGGGGCCTACCTTGGCTCAATACAGATGTGGAAATTGAGGGCCAGAGAGGTAGGGCACTTATCCAGGGTCACACAGCCAGTCAGAGGATTGCAACCTGCCTAATCTTTGAAAGACCCCCCTGCCTTGAAAGCCTTTTATTCCCTCTCTATTGAACTGCACCTCCTACAAATCCCAGAGGCAGACAGGTTTTTTTGTTTGTTTGTTTGTTGAGATAGCACCTTGCTCTGTTGCCCAGGCTGGAGTGCAGTGGTGCCATCTCTGCTCACTGCAACCTCCACCTCCTGGGTTCAAGCAATTCTCATGTCTCAGTCTCCCAAGTAGCTGGGATTACAGGCATGCACCACCACATCTGGCTAATTTTTGTTTTGTTTTTTTGTGTTTTGTTTTGTTTTGTTTTGTTTTGTTGTTTTGTTTTTGAGATGGAGTTTCACTCTTGTTGCCCAGGCTGGAGTGCAATGGCACGATCTCAGCTCACTGTAATCTCCGCCTCCTGGGTTCAAGCGATTGTCCTGCCTCAGTCTCCTGAGTAGCTGAGATTACAGGCACATGCCACCATGCCCAGCTAATTTTTCTATTTTTGGTACAGACAAGGTTTCACCATGTTGGCCAGGCTGGTCTCTAACTCCTGGCCTCAAGTGATCCATCTACCTCAGCCTCCCAAAGTGCTGGGATTACAGGCATGAACCACCATGCCTGGCCTAATTTTTGTATTTTTAGTAAAGACAGGGTTTTGCCATATTGCCCAGGCTGGTCTTGAACTCCCAGGTTCAAGTGATCTGCCTGCCTGGGCCTCCCAAAGTGCTGGGATTACAGAGGTGAGCCACCATGCCTGGCAGCAGAGAGAATTTGAGAGTTAGAAAGCCACAGTAGGAGTGGTCACCCACTGTCCTGCCAGGCCAGGGTTTCTCAGCCTCGGCACCATGGACATGATAATTTTATATCATAGGGGCAATTCTGTGCGCTGTGGAACATTTGGTGGCATCCCTGGCCTCTTCCCACTAGAGGCCAGGAACAGCACCATGATAACCAAAAATGTTTGCAGACATTGCCAAATGTCCGCTGGGGAGCACAATCGCCTGGACGAGCACCATTGTCCTAAACCAAATTGTGGTTTAATCCATTTTATGAAGAATGGGCTTGGCCGGGCACAGTGCCTCATGCCTGTAATCTCAGCACTTTAGGAGGCCAAGACAGGCAGACTGCTTGAGCCCAGGAGTTCCAGACCAGTCTGGGCAACATGGCAAAAGCCTGTCTCTACAAAAAATACAAAAATTAGCAGGGCGTGGTGACACATGCCTGTAATCCCAGCTACTCTGGAGGCTGAGGCAGGAAGATCACTTGAGCCCAGGAGGCAGAGGTTGCAGTGAGCTGAGACGGCACCACTGCACTCCAGCCTGGGTGACAGAAAGAGACCCTGTCCCAAACAAAACAAACAAAAGAATGGGCTTTATGTAGATATGTCATTGTAACGCTGTGGTTCCATAAAAGCAGGCTTTCGCTCTCCCTGAATGCCCCCTCCCACTTCTAACCACCACCCCCATCCCTCCCTGCCTCCACTTACACATAAGCCCACTCTCTAAGGGTAGGGACACTGCCATCTTATCCCTGGGGGTCCTTCTCTGTCCTTAGTGAGGGACCACTTGATGCAATCGGAAGGCAACTGGCTCTGCCGTCTGGCTGCCTCTGTTCCTCAAACATGTCACTCAACTCTCCGAGCCCCAGCTGCCTCATCTACCAAATGGGGAGAGTAGCTCAGGCACAAGATTGAGCTGCCATCCATCAAAAGATATGTATTGAGAGCCAACTCTAAGTGGAGGACTCTTCCAGGCATTGGCTGATAAAAGACGCAGTGCCTGGCCCAGCACCTGGCACACAGCAGCCATCCTTTGCTGGCAGTGCTACTTGGTGAGAGCTCTGGACAGGCTGGTTCCCCTTTACTTCTTTCCTGCATGCTCCTTAGCTATTGAGACTCATCTCTGCTTATCTCTCACCCCCATCCTGCCTGGCTTCTTCCCCAACCTGATTCTCTCTTATGCATGCACACACAACACACTTATATATGCACACACATACACACACACACACTCCATGCACTCTCTGGCTGGGTGAAAGCCTGGATCTTAGACTCATCTGTTGCTATGGAAACCTTACCAGCTTCAGTTGCTCTCTGTGACCTGGTGTGGTGTTGATGGTGAAGCAAGGCTAGGGGAATCCTGGTGTTTGGGCAAGGAGTGGAAGGTAGGGATCCCCTGGGGCTTAGCAGCCCTGGCTGGGGTCATCCTGGGAGTGACCAGTCCCCTCCTTCTCCCACATCCTTGTACCATTCCTAGGACCTCTGGCTCAGAAAGACAGAAAGGCAGCCCCCATTTAATGGGGAGGCACAGTCCCCCTCCTAATAAATACTTGATAGGGATGGAAAAGCCCCCATGGTTAACTGTTCATTGGCCAAAAAGACTCTGTTGCACCTGACAGTGACTTTACGTCCTCAGCCCCTCCCCCTGCCAGGGGATGTATATGGTCCCAGAGGCTCGAAATTCGTTTTTAATTAATTTAATATTCTTCAATTACAAAAGTGGTATATACTCAGTGCTTGCAATAAAAATACTCAAACAATTCAGTCAGGTATAAAGCACAAATAAAAGCCTCCCTTCCCTGTTCCCAGACCCACTTAGTTTTGAGTGTTTCCTTCTAGAAATATTAATATGACACATAAAAACACATAAATACACAGTACATGTGTGTATTTTTGATAATCACATGTACAAACTGCTCTCCAACTTACTTTTCTAAGGTCTTTTAAATTCACTTTTCAAAAATAAATAACAGTGCACTGCATTTATTTAAAAAGTGAATTTAATTACCCTTTTTGGTGAACAGTTCTGAGACTTGACAAATGTATATGGTCATGTAATCATCGCCACAATGAAGACACAGAACAATCATAATTTGCTATTTTAAAATAAATTTTATCTTGGACATCTTTTCACTTTGGCATGAAGAAAGCTACTTCTTTATTTTCAATGCTGTGTGACCTTCCATTGCATGGGCTATACCAGAACTTATTTGCCAACTTCGACTGATGCCAACTCCAAGTGATTTCGACAGTTTCCAGATTTTTACTTTTACAAACAATACTGCAACAAACAGTACTTGCATATCAATTGTTGCGCTCCTGTGTATTTTCACAAGATCAAATTCCTGAAAGTGGAATTGCCAGATCAAAAGGGCTTATGCATTTCCATTGAGAGCACATTGCTAAATTGTTCTCCTACAACTGTGTACCCACTTACGTTAGCACTGACAGTCCATGAAAGACTCTGTCTTTCCATTGACCACAGGTGTGCCATCAAACATTTAAATATTTGCCAATCTGCAAGATGGAAAAAAGTCATAAACTTGTTTTAATTTACATTGCTTAAAGTTTTCATGAGACTGAGCATTTTTTCATGGGTTTATTGGATACTTTGCTATAAAGTGCCTGCAAATACCCTTAACACATTATTCTATTAAGTTTGTCTCTTCGGCCAGGCATGGTGGCTCACGCCTGTAATCCCAGCACTTTGGGAGTCCGAGGCGGGCAGATCATGAGGTCAACAAATTGAGGTCATCCTGGGCAACATTGTGAAACCCCATCTCTACTAAAAATACAAAAATTAGCTGGGCACGGTGGTGCATGTCTGTAGTCCCAGCTACTCAGGAGGCTGAAGCAGGAGAATCGCTTGAACCTGGGAAGCGGAGGTTGCAGTGAGCTGAGACTGTGCCACTGCACTCCAGCCTGGCGACAGAGCGAGACTCCAGCTCAAAAAAAAAAAAAAAGTTTGTCTTTTCCCCCAGTGATTTATAAAAGCTTCTTGAAAATGATCTTTGTTATGTCTATGACAAATGTATTTCTCCATTTATCCCTTGCCTTTTCATGTCTGTTTGTACCAGCACAAGAATAGATAGATTAAATCAACAAAACAGAACAGAAAGTCCATAAATAAAACCAACTGTGCATGAAAGCTTTGTTGGGATAGAGGTAGGAAACTGACTAAACTGCAGGGATTCAGATGGAAAAACCACATTCAATAAATGGTGAGATTGGTACCATTTGGAAAATCAAGAAAAAGTGGATTCCTTTCTCCTTAGTCCAAAACAAATTTCATGTAAATCAAAGATTTAAACACACAAACAAACAAAATGAAATCCCAAAAATTCTAGAATATTTTTTGAGTGAGAAAGACCTTTTAAGTATGGCATATGGGAAGACATAAGGAAAAAAGGTTGATAATTTTAACTATACACAAAAAAAGTTTAAACTTTATGGCAAGAAGAAAAAAGTGGGTTTAGAATTATCCATGGTGTGTGATTTTCCATGGCTTTCCATGGTTTGGAGTTTATCCACGGCTTAGGAGTATTACTGTTGATGTTTCTCATGAGTAATGGACACTAGGTCATGTGTCCCTGAGTACTGGAGGGGCAGTGCCCAGGAGGAGCTGCCGTGCCCCTGGGGAGAGCTGGTGGTGGCGGGAGGGTGGGGGGTGGAGGGGGCAGAAGGAAGGAGTGTCCAGCCACCAGGAGCTCTGTCCCCTTCCCCTCCCCCTCCCCCTCCTTCTCCCCCTCCTCCTGCTCCCATTCTCCTCTTCTATCCCTAGCCCTTACTGAACAGTGGTCAGGACCTGAACCAGGGCCCCAAGCTCCGTGGTCCAGGGGCCCGAAGACCCTCTCTGCTGCCCCAAGGCTGCCAGCCCTTCCTGACCGGGGGCCAAGAGACCCAGGCCTGGAGCCCTGTGAGGGAGCGGGATCCTGGGTCCAGCCTGAAGGTTGCCTCTAACAGCCAAAGCCCGGGAGATCTGGGTAAGTGACCACAGGGTTCAGGACCTGACTGGGGACAGGGAAGAATCCTTGGCTGTGGTTCAACTTCAGATGGCAGGCCCACAGGGCAGATGCCTGGGTCTGTCCCCTTGGGGTCTGCTGCGGCTCACCCCTTTCTGAGGACCTCACCAATCCCACGCTTCCCCAATCACCCTGGTTCTTGGGTGGCCTGTAAGGCTGCAGCTCCGTTCTCTGTGCCCCTGTCCCACCCCATCCTGTCTGGCCCCCTCAGCCATTGGCCTCCTGGGAGGTGGATCTGTCCTCCCTGGGGACAAGCCCATGCCACCCTCACCCCCAGCTGTCCTCGGAAAGGAGTTGGAGTTGTCTGTTCCCTGGGGAGATGGAGGGGGTTGTACTTGCTTAGGAGTATCTGCTCCCTGGGGAGGGATGATGTTCCCTGGGAGTTGGCCGTCTGTCCCCCAGGTCAGCGCTTGGCCCTCTTGTCCCTCTGCCCGCAGAGCCGTCCCATCACCCCTCTGTCTTCGAAAGAGAGCTGTCCTCGGACTGGGAGCCCCCAGCCGAGTCCCAGGAGCAAGCCAGTCCCGGCAGGCCCGCCACCCCGGGCCCGGTAGTGGGCAAGGCTCTGGTCAAAGGCCTGCGCGACAGCCAACGCCTGCAGTGGGAGGTGAGCTTCGAGCTGGGGTCCCCCAGCCTGGAGCGGAGCAGCGCGCGCGATGCCGACCTGTGGGGCGAGACCTTCCACCACTTGGCTGCCCGCGCCATCATCCGCGACTTCGAACAGCTGGCGGAACGCGAGGGCGAGATAGAGATTGGTGAGCGCCGCGGGCCGCCTCCAGAAGACCCGCCCCCCTACAGCCGCGCCCCCTTCCTCACCCACCCCTCGTGATCCTTCCAGCCCCCCGTAGTCCGCCCACCTCCTTCCCGGGTCCTGCCCCACCCTCTCCTCACAGCCCCGCCCAGTGCTCCGCCCACTCTCCCTATGACCCTCCCACCTCCTTCCCCTCCCCGGGCCCCACTCTCGCCCCATCCCCTCATCACAGCCGTGCCCAGTGCCCTGCCCATCCCCTGTGGCCCGCCCACCCCTTACCCCCTGCCATGGCCCGTCCCCACCTCCATGGTCGTCCCACCTCCTTCCCTGTCCCGGCCCCCACCCTGTGCCCGCCCACTTCCCCCAGGACCCGCCCCTCCTCACAGCCCCGCCCACTGTCCCACCCACTCTCCTATCCGGCCTCCAGGCTCCGCCCCCTCCCCATTGTGCTCAGTGCCTTGGCTCATTCCCTACCCCCGCCCCAGGATCAGCCCTTATTCTCTGGCTCTAGCCCCCTTCGTCTCCCCACAGCCCACTGTTCCCCCACTCCACCTCACACCGCAGCCTGCAGGTGCCTTCCCTCACTCACAATCGCCCTTCCCGTCACACCCACCTACCAACCCACACACTCACAGCCCAGGGCTCCATTCCATTCCCTCCAAGATCCACCCTCTTCCCCCTGCCTCCGAGTAGGTGACCCTCTCCCCATCCCTGGGCTCTTCCACCCCCATGCAGTGATCCCTCCTCTTCTCTCCCGCCTCATTCCTCTCTCCTACGGGCCCCGCATTTCCTAGTGCTTCTCTCCTGCCGCAACCCCTGTAGGGCTCCAGACACAGAACAATGGCCACAGTCCACACCTTTCCCCAGCCCCGCCAGTCCAGGGGCTCCACGCACTCACTCATCATGCCTTTATTTACTGTGGATCTGTGGGGGCCAGGTTCCTACTGGGCCCGGTAAACGCAGCTGAACAGCCCAGTGAAAAAGCAATCTCCATCTCTTTCTTACCCATGAGTGCTTGACAAACTAGCAGGGAAGCCAGCATTAATCAAATCATTACACAGATAATTAATTGAGTGCATTTGTCCTAAGTGCTATTAAGAAAAAAGACACGGATCCAAGAGATTGTATAACAGAGATGTAGGGGAGCTAATTTAGTCCAGGAATTGGGGCGGACTTCACTGAGAAAGTGACTGGTGGGATCTTGATGGAACACACTTGGAGAATAGAAATATAAATAGAGAACGGTTATATCATTTCTTTGTTGTGGGTTTCTGCTTTATTTCTATAATAATATTATTTTGTTTATATTTTACTTGCATTTTTGTATTGTATGTGTTACTTTCTTCCACCTTACAGTTTACAAAGCACTTGTCTACCCTTCATCTTGGCTCCTCACTCAGCCCTCTGGAGGCAGCAAGCCACCAACACTGCTCACCTGTTCAAAGGGAAGGGATTGGGCTTTGGGGTCAGGCCACCCTGAGTCCAGATCTCAGATCCATTCCTAACTTGCTATGTGACCCTAAGCTCACCAGTCTCCTCTGATTTGCAATGTCCTCAGCAGCTAAATGGGTCAGATCAGTAGTCCCCATTCCGCAGCCAGTGGACCTATGAAGTTTTACAGCAACGTTCCCATTAGACATCTGCAAAATTAAAGTACAAAATACAGACAACATACCGGGTTGAGTGTTTTTAAAAATAAAACTATGGTTATTTAAAGGAAGTATCTGTCTTTTATTCTGAGACAATGGCTTACATTTTTACATTAAAATATCCTTTATTTTGTGAAATGATGACGTGAAATGATGGTGGTTTTAAAATATATATATATATAGTTAGCAAGTTGGCAAACTCTTGATTGTAAAGGCTTACTTAACCCCAAAGATGGGGACCACTGGTTGAGCCCCCCTTTTAGCTTCCAACGCTTCTGTGTCAGGGAAGACTTTCTGAGTCCACACAGTGACCTCAGTTTCTCCCTCCACAGGGTCCAACCGCCGCTACCAGGTGAACGCTGTGCACACCAGCAAAGCCTGCAACATCATCAGCAAATACACAGCCTTCGTGCCTGTGGATGTGAGCAAGAGCAGGTACCTGCCCACCGTGGTGGAGTACCCCAGCTCTGGTAAGGCAGGTGAGCGGCGGGGCACTCCTGGGAGCCAAGCAGCCCCTGTGGACTGGGGGATGGGGCTGAGATACAAAGGACCACAGACCAACAGGGAGGGGTGTGAGACAGAGCCTAGAAGCAGAAAGACCCCCAGTGGATGATTTGGCTGCCGGGGAGTGGGAGCCCCGGGGCCTCATCCCACTGCTCTGCAGAAACTGTGAAATCACCCCACTCCCTTTTCTCTACCACATGAAAATGATTTTTATTGCATTTCTTCAATTGGGACAATATGTGCTCATTATAGAAAATTCCAAACTATCAAAAGATATAAAATTTAAAAAATAACTAAGACGGACAGTCATCCAAGAGTGTATATTAGTTACTTGCTTGTTGTGACCTTCCTTCCAGACTTCTTTCTATGGATATCAACATGTAGAGAAATCAAAAGACAGATCATTTTACATGAATTGGATTATTCTAATATGTGCTATATTTTACAAAATCTGAGTGCAGAAACTGTCACTCCGTGAACTGAATCTATATTATTTTAATAGCTGTAGCATATTCCCCTAGAGGGAGCTGCCATCCTCAGAATAGCCAATTAGTGTTCCAAAGCACTTTGTATATATTTTCAATTCTTTCATCCTCAAAACAGCTCTACAAACTAGACACTTATCATCCCCATTTTAGAGATGGAAAACAGAGGCAGAAGTCACTTTCCTAAGGTCTCACAGCCACGAGGGGCTGGAGCCAGGCTTTACATTCATTGCCCTGGCTCTGGATTATGCATTCTCTCCCACTCCTTTCTACTGCCTCCGAAAATTTATTGCAAACTTTTAAAATCTATTTAGACCTTTAGGTTATTCCCCATTTGGTTATTGTAAATGATACTGTAAAGAACATCTTTGTGCATCTGTCTGGTTATCTCCTCAGGGTTAATTAATTCTTAGAAGTAGGACTGCAGTGTCAAGAGGATGCCCATTTAAAATTTCCGTGTATGTTACCAAACTGCCCCCTCACCACCCCAAACACTATTCCAATGTCCATCCTCTCCAATACTGAATATTGTTTATCTTTCTAAACACTGCCATATTTGAGAAGAGAAGCTCTCTTTTGTCATTTTTTCTATTGAGATACTTTTTGTGTTTATGAACTATTTGTGCTTTTTTTAAGTTATATTTCCCTGTCCTTTGTGGTCACCCATCCCCTACCCTCTTTTCTTTTTTTTAAGCCGACCTCCAGAAAGCATTGTGTTTGGAAATAAAATATGTCCTCCCTAATTATACCTGTTCCCCTTTTCTTATCTGTGGTATCAAAATGATCAGCTATCCATCCCACCCTCCTCAACTGCTGTCATTTCAAGCAATGGAGTGGCCATTTAATCAGGCTGTTGCCTTACTCATGTTGCAAGGATGACCATTCCTCCCACCCTTCTCTGACCAGCCTGTTAGCATCTGTAGCCACAGCCTGGGAAGTCAAGGACCTGGCCCATATCTTAACCAAAGTCCCAGAGCCCCCTAAGAGCTGGATCAGCACTTCCCCAACTGTGTTCCAAGAAACTAGAACTCTAGTTTCATGTCCTATGAATAGCCATCCAGAATAAAAATAGAGAATACCAGATTAGGAAACACAGTTAAGAACCACTGGATTAGATAAAGCTCAAAAGCTTTCTTTACTGCAGAACTTCTCAGAGCCTTTAGTATGTTAATATACATCAAGAGGCTCAGAGAATGGGCTACAGTATGCAGCTTCTCCAAAACTTATTTCCCCAAACAACTCTAATTTTTAAGGGAAAACTTATAGACTAGCGTTCTCTGAGAATGGGGGAGTTCCCTAAAACATACTTTAGAATGCTGTAACTTCTTCTTCTTCTTTCTTTGAGGGAGTTTTGCTCTGTTGCCCAGCTTAGAGTGCAGTGGCACAACCACAGCTCACTGCAATCTTGAACTCTTGGGCTCAAGTGATCCTCCCACCTCAGCCTCCCAAGTAGCTGGGACTACAGGCACGCGCTACCACACCCACCTAATTTTTAAATTTTTTTTGTAGAGATAGGGTCTCGATATGTTACCCAGTCTGATCTTGAACTCCTGGGCTCAAGTGATCCTCCCATCTCAGCCTCCTGAAGTGCTTACATTACAGACATGAGCCACCCTGCACAGCCGAAGGTGCTGCCACGTCATCTCTTTTCCATCCACCCCTCTTGGTGATGCCCTGGGATTGAAGGGGCCTGCCCTGTGGGAGGGGTAAGATCTCTGTGCATCTGTCTGGTTATCTCCTCAGGGTTAATTAATTCTTAAAAGTAGGATTGCAATGAGTTGGGACGTGGGTCTCTGAGACAGTAAACAGAGAAGAACAGAGTGTTCCTGAGAAAACTGGGCTTTTAACTTCCTGGAAAACATTGTGGCTTCGTGAACATTCTCTCATAGTATCAACCCGGCAAGGTAGATATCATTATCCCCGTTTTCCAGATAAGCAGACTGTGGCTCAGTGGGGTCTGCACCCATCCAGCTGGAAACAGATGGGGCTGGGCCTCACGCTGGGTCTTTCTGACTCTAAAGTTCATGGTCTTACCTTGTATAATGCCTTCCTGCCTTTGGATAATTGAGAGATTGAAGACAGAATCATTCCTGTCAGCCTTGGGGGAGAGGCCAAGGACTGGCACATTTGTACCCAACCACCCGCTTCCCCTTGTCTTCCGTGAAGGAGATCCGTGGATGGTGAGCTCTCGGACCCTGATCCAACAGTGGAGGGGCACCTCTTCTGGCTTCAGACGGTCGCAGACCATGCTTGGAAAAGACTCGGCCGCAGGAGATGGCAAATTTCAGACCCTAAGTAAGAACCACCTCGGGCACTTTCGGAAGCCTGGGCCCCTGAGGTTACCGCATCCTCCTGTCCAAGGCCCCAGGGCCTCTCTCTGAGTCTGCACTGCGGGCTTAGGCAGGCCCTGGGCTGAGCCAGGCTCTCTGAGGCCTAAGAGGCACAGAGGGGCTCAGTAGGACCCCAGCACACCACCACTGACACAGCTCTCTCTTTGCCACGGAGTGGCACCGCCTCCCCTCCCCTTCCAAGGTCTGCTGACCCTGCCTCCAGTCTCTGAGTCCTCCGAGGCACCAACTGCCAGGAAACTTAATAAACAAGGGAAAAAGCGAAGAACGAAGAGGCAGTCCCATCTGTTTGGGTCCCACCATCTGTTTCTTTCAGGATTCCCAGCAGCCTCCTTTGAGCCGTCACCTGGTTTCATTGTGCCTGCAGCTTGCTCCTTGAAGAGCCAGGATTTGACCTTTCTTGACCTTGCACTAGTTCCGAGGATGCCTTTAACCCTCTGTGTCCTGCATGGATGTGTCTTTCTGTCTCTCTAAAGACAGCCTCACTGCTGCACTCGTCCTAACCCCTTTCTAGGTACCCTCACATGCACAGTGAGGATCTCCCGCCTTTTGCTGTGCAGGGTGAAGACATCAGAGGTCCCACCCGGCCACGAGCCCAGCCACCCAGACCATAAGAAGCTTTTATTCCAGGTCCTAGAAAGTGCTCACAGACATTGATGGGTTTTAAAACAAAAACAAAAACAGAACACAGTGTGAGGAACTCTTCAGAACCAAAGCGTTCTGCCGACTTCTTGGTCTCTTTAAATCCCAGGAGAACCAGCTCCATCCCAGAGCCAAGCTGAGCTTCCAGTCTTCGGGAAATTGCCGATCTGTACCTTCCTTTCTCCAAAGCTTAGCTTTCGGTGGCCCAGGGCTTCCATCACAATCATAAATCCTTTATTTTCTTCCATCCTTCCTTCCTTCCTTCCCTTCCTTCCTTCCCTCCTTTCCTTCTTTCCTTCCTTCCTTCCTCCCTTCCTTCCTTCTTTCCTTCCTTCCTTCCTTCCTTCCTTCCTTCTTCCTTTAGGTGGAGTCTTACTCTGTCGCCCAGGCTGGTGTGCAGTGGCACAATCTTGGCTCACTGCAACCTCTACCTCCCGCATTCAAGTCATTCTCCTGCCTTAGCCTCTCAAGTAGCTGGGACTACAGGCACCCGCCACCATGCCCAGCTAATTTTGTATTTTTGGTAGAGATGGGGTTTTACCATATTAGCCAGGCTGATCGTGAACTCCTGACCTCAGGTCATTCACCACCTCAACCTCCCAAAGTGCTGGGATCACAGGCTTGGGTCACCGCACTGGCCACAAATCACTTCCTTGAAATTGTTCTCTGATTTATGCCCACATTCCTGACTTTTTTTTTTTTTTCTGAGACAGGGTCCACAGTCCAGGGCCCTACTGAGTGCTTAGCAATGGACTCAGCACTATCTGCGTATTATCTCATTTAATCTTTACAACACTCTGAGATACATGACGTTATCCCCAATTTGCAATCAAAATTTATAAAGTCATTTTGCCAAATCCCCACAGCTGATCAGTGGTAGTGGTGGTGGCCGGGGTCAGGATTTGAACACAGGCCTGTCTGATCTTATGGTGGAGCAACGGTTATATCTGTGGAAGATGAAGGCTCATCTGAACAGGGGTGGAAACCCTAGCCTTGTTCCCCAACCCACCCACAGGCACCGTGAATTAGACCATCACTCTCCTGGGGGGGATGGGAGGAGAAAGGTCTGGCCTCACTGGCTTCTCTGTCCTAGACACGGAGGCAGGTCCCACCGCTCCTGTCAGCGAGGCCACATTCCCTGGCCGTGAGAAACACGCCACTTCTGAAGGTGAGTGGGCAGGCGGCGCTGCCTCTCCATCAAAATGGTGACAGGGATTCGTCCTGGGGTCAGGAGAGTGTCTTAGCATCGACAGAGTCCTCAGGGCTTCACGGAGTCCTCAAAACAGCCCTCTGCATGAGGAATAGGATTATCCCCAATTGAAAGATGAGGAACAGGTGCGAAGAGGTGAGGTGACTTGCCCAAGGTCACAGAGCACATCGGTGACAGAGCTGGGCCTGGATCAGGCTTCCTAGTTCCCTGCTGAGGGACCGTTTTGCCACTCCACTCTGCCTAGAGTCCTCTAGCAACGTGCCAAGGAGGTCAACTCAGTGTCCTCATTTGGGAAGGAGCGGGGCTGAGTGAAGCTGTCACTGTCCCCACAAGTAACTTTCCAGAAGATCCCAGGGGCTGCCAGCCAAGGAAACTTGGAGGCCAGCTTTTTATATGCAGACATAATCTCACCCCGCCCCACGCCAACTGGGGCAGAAGGAGCTCCACAGCGTAATGGTTAGCTCCGGTCCCTGGGAGCTTAGCTAAGCCTCTGCCCCTCTCTGGGCCTCTGTTTCCCCAGTTGGTCAGTGAGCAGTTGGACAGGGTCATCTTCAGGTCTCAACTCTGTCATTCTGTGGCTCTCCAGGTCCCCTGCACAGCCTGGCCTCAAATACTCTTTCTTCCATGAAGGCCCCAGAGAATCTCTTTGGATCCAGGTAGGTGGGATTTCTAATAAAGATACACTCTCCGGCCACCCATTTTCCCGGGGTGGTCCCTGGGGTTTTCCCTGACTTGGAAGGCCAAAGGCAGGTTCAGCCTGACATTTAGGCAGGTGTGAAAAAGGCATTCCTGCCCAGAGAGATGACTGTCTCCCAGGTATCCCCCTACCTCAAATCCCCACTTTGAAGGGGGATTTGTACCCGTGGGAGGGCTGGCGTAAAGCTCTCTGACCACTGGGCTGGACAAGAATGTGACAGTAAAAGAGGGGCATGATCCAGGTGCAATAGCTCACACCAGTAATCCCAGAACTTTAGGAGGCCGAGGTGGGAGGATCACTGGAAGCCAGGAGTTCGAGACCAGCCTGGGCAACACAGTGAGACCCTGTCTCTACAAAAAATTTTAAAATTAGCCAGACTTGGGTGTGTGCCTGTAGTCCAGGAGGCTGAGGTGGGAGGATCGCTTGAGCCCAGGAAGTTGACACTGCAGTAAGCTACAATCGTGTCACTCCAGCCTAGGGGACAGAGTGAGACACCGTCTTGGAAACAAAAAAAAGAGGATCAACAGAAGAACACTAACCTCTTCCGAGGCCCGGCTGCTACTAACTCATTGACTGACTTAGGGCAGTTGCTTCTCCCCAGCTTTCTAGGCTTCTGACTCCTTAGCTGTCAGATAAGGACACTGGACGGAGGCATCTGTTGCATCCCTTCTGACCCTGACTTTCAGGGGCTTCTGGGTGGGCACTGGAGGTTGGGATGCCCAGGGCCACTTGACTTCACCTGCACAGGCTAAATCTCAACAAGTCCAGGCTACTGACGCGAGCAGCCAAGGGGTTCCTGAGCAAGACACCGATCAAAGCTATGGAGTCGACCTCCGGAAGCCAGAGCTTCGACTATGTGCCGCTGGTGAGTGCCCTGACCCAGTGTCCATCTCCCTCTGCTCCACTCAGCAGCAAGGCCTTCCTATGATCCCCTGCCTTCCTCTCCATTTCCTTAAACAGAAGAAGGCCTTGGTCTTGGAGCTCAGATCCCCTGAGTTCTGAAGCTTCCTAGAGCTTCCCACCCAAGAACTATGCAGGGCAGAGGGAGTTTGCATGAATCTCCCCGGCCCAGAGGCCTAGGGATATTGCTAGAAGCCAGCACCAGCATCACGAAAATTCTTTGCAGTCTGCTATCTTTACCTTAAAAATTCGTGGGAATTTTGCATTCTACTCCATGCATCTATGTGTATCTGTTTTTCAGTACATAAAAATAAGCTTTGAAATGACTCATAAGTGAATAAAATTAACATCCCAGGGACATGGACCATGTTTAGCAACTGGGTCTGCAGACACCCCAGCATGCTGTGGCAGGGCGAGAGGCTCAGGTCTGGAGTGGGCTTCTCTGAATTAAGGAGCAAGGGAAACTGCCCCTGCTCTATCTGGGGCCCCTCGGGGCTTGGGAAACAGAGGATGCTTGAAGGAGGGGCACAGTTTGAGCATCACTGCATATCTCTCCTGTCCCTGAAGACCCAAGTGCATAATATTTGGAATTCCCAAATATCCAGGGCAAGTGAGCCCTATGCATGTTTTCACTCAACAGGTATTTATTGAGTCAGGCCCAGTACTAGACCCTGGAGAGACAACCTGGAGCTAGACAAGTGTAGTTTCTGCACTCATGGTGCTCAGTGTCTAATAGGATCCAGGCAAGGAACCAAGCAATTCTAACTCTTGGGAGCGGTGATGGAAGAGGTCTGATTTGGTTGGGGAGTACAGGGGGTGGACATCTAGCCCAGGCTTGAGATGGGAGGAGCAGAACCAAGCATGACTTCCTGGAGAAGGTCAAGGCTAAGCCAACACTTGCAGGATGAGGAGTTATGGCCAAAGGCTTCCAGAGGAGAGAGAGAGCTTGGCAGCTGGGGATGCAGTTTGAGAGGGTAAAGGTCAAGGACAAACCAGGGTTAGGTGGTACAGAGCTTTGCTAATCATATTTTGGACTTAGTCTAAGAGACGCTGAAGTCGTCAAACTGAGCCTCCAAAATGTGTGTGATCCATGCCTGGTAGAGATCCCTCTGTAGGTAGGACAGATGGATTGGGTGTGGGGGGAGAGGAGGAAAGGGCAGGCAGGAATCACGTGAGGAAGCATGTGATGGATTGCAGAGTGATTTAGAAAGCAGACCTGTTGGGACTTGGAAGCTGATGGGTACCCAGGGAGAAAGAGGAAGGTGAGCTGCCAGAGTTCACTGCCTGGCGGGGACATTCCCAATGGTCGAGCTGGGCCCACCCACCTAGGACAAGAGGCAAATATGGACTGAAGATGTTGACCTGGGCTTGGAGAGTGATCTGTGTGAAGTGTCTGCAGGATAGAGGTCAGAGGTGCTCAGTTGCTCAGTATCTTGAAAATCCCCCAGGCAGACAGGGTGGGGTGGGCAATATGAAACCAGACTTTTGCATGGCCTGGGGCTCCCGGGCTAAAACATATGAGGCCCACTGAGGGGCTTCCCCACACACAGGTGTCTCTGCAGCTGGCCTCCGGAGCCTTCCTACTCAACCAAGCATTCTGTGAGGCCACGCACATCCCCATGGAGAAGCTCAAGTGGACCTCCCCCTTCACCTGCCACCGAGTGTCCCTCACCGCCCGCCCGTCTGAGTCCAAGACCCCGAGTCCCCAGCTGTGCACCAGCCCCCCGCCTCGGCACCCCTCCTATGACAGCTTCTCCCTGGAGCCTCCAGCCGAGGGCAAGCTGGGCCTGGAGCCGAGGGCAGTGGTGGAGCACACTGGGAAGCTATGGGCCACGGTGGTGGGGCTGGCATGGCTGGAGCACAGCTCGGCCTCCTACTTCACTGAGTGGGAGCTGGTGGCCGCCAAGGCCAACTCATGGCTGGAGCAGCAGGAAGTACCTGAGGGCCGCACGCAGGGCACACTCAAGGCTGCTGCCCGCCAGCTGTTTGTGCTTCTGCGGCACTGGGATGAGAATCTGGAGTTCAATATGCTCTGCTATAACCCGAATTATGTGTAGCTGGGTGAGGGGAGGCTGGGCGGAGGGAAAGGATGGGCGGAGCCGTGTCGGCCTGGTCTGGGGAGCTTTTGGAGCTGTAGCCAATATATCAGTTACTAGAAAAAGCCCTGGCCTGGCAATCAGGAGGCCTGAGTTCCATCCCAACTTTACTACCATCCAGCCATGCAACTTTAGACCAGTCCCTGCCCCCCATCTGGGCCTCGGTTTCCTCACCTATGAAATAAGAGGGTAAGGGTGGTGGAGTGGATCTCAAGTGGTTCAGTGGTTCCTTTCTGCCCATTCAGGCAGTCCTGGGCCCACTGCTGCGGGGCTGGGGAGAGGGCACAGTGGAGGCCTGAGCTCTCCCTGTAGCTAGACCAGAGTGGGCATGGAGAGGACACAGCAATGCCCACTCAAATAAAAGGGTGGGTGAGAGAACCCAGTGACCATAAGTAACCAGGCCTGCAGGCTGGCACAGGCACATAGACACCAGCAAGTCTGGTGCTTGGAGGACAGGCTCTTGTCTCCATGGTAACAGCCCAGGACCCCCTGCATCCCACTTAAAAGCCAACTGGAGAACCATCCTTCCCAACGCTTTACAGAAGAGTTGCTCGTGGGACTTTTGTTTTGGCTAGGAAGCTTCCTTAGTACGTACTAGTACTGGCCTGCCGATCCGATCATTAGTGGCTCCCTAACTGAGAAGAGGTGGTGGCAGGGCCAGGGGAGACATCTTGTGAGTTGAAGTGTTAGATTTAAAGTGGCAGTCTGTGCAAAAATAGTCCTAAAAGAATAGACATGGTCACCTAGAAGTCAGTGAAGACGCCTGCCAGACAACACCTTACCTAATTCACACACTTCTAGGAATTGGGTAATGTGAACTGCATCACTTGTACTGAGGCACTAGGGAGGCACCTCTGTGTAGGTCACACCATGGGATCAGGGGGCCCTCTCGGGCCATGCCATGCTGTGGGAGAGAGGTATCTTTTTGCAACAAAGAACCATGCTTGGCTGCACTGCCTTTGGGAATGGCAGCTCTGGCCAGCGGGAGGCCAGATTTGTTTGGTGAAATGAATGAATTGACACTTCAGACAGGCTCCCTTGGCGGCTTCTCGCCCTCAAGCCCACGGTGTGGTGCCCACGTGGGGACTGGAGTGCTGTGGCCTCAGAGTCCCTAATGGCTGGCATGGAGCTGCCCAGTCTCCTCTGCCCCACAGACTCCCCTGGAGGTGGGTCTGGACCTCACCAAGGGACCCCACCAGCTTGGGATCTCAGGCTGAATCTCTCTACCCTGGAAAGCCCCTCCTTCAAGGCCTTAATCTCTCCTCATCAAATTCTGTCCCAACCTTAGTGTGAAGCTCCACAGACTTCGGGAAGACCTTGAGCGCTTAGCTTATCAAACCAACCCATGGGATCCTGTGCGCTCCGGCACAAGCCCCAGCCTCAGGAAGACTCAGAAGTGTGCAACCTCCAGCAGGGGCTGGAGCCGGGGAGGGGGCTTAGACTTAGTCTAAGAGGCACTGGAGTCATTGGATCCAGGCAATTCTGACCCTTGGGAGTGGTGATGGGAGAGGTCTGGTTTGGCTAGGGAGAACAGGGGGTGGACATCTAGCCCAGGCTTGAGATGGGAGGAGCAGAACCAAGCATGACTTCCTGGAGAAGGTCAAGGCTAAGCCAAGTCTTGCAGGATGAGGAGTTATGGCCAAAGGCCTCCAGAGGAGAGGCTTTGGTCCTGCCATCTGTGGGTGTGGCCTCGGATTAGCACTAATGAGGCCCCCTCTGCACTAACGGTGAGCCCCCTGAGCTTTCAGACACTTGTTTATGATATGGGTACAGGTGACCACAACAGCACATGGTATCGCACAGCCAGAAGGGCGCTCATGCTGGGGGCCTCCTTGTCCCGGTGGAGCAGAGGCGTCCCTGCAACCGAGTGCCCTGAGGGCCCAACCTCCTGCCACACGCAGATGCAGCCCTGTCTCTGAGGCCCTTCAGGCTTGAGACCACTTCCAGGTGCCAGGAAAACTGGCACCATAGTTTGACAGAGTTACACTGGACTTGTCCAGAAGCAGCCTCAGTTTCCAGCCGGCATCGCTGTTTCCCAGCCAGTCCCCTCTCTGCGGGCAAAATGAATGGCATCCCCTGGCCTTCACTGACCTGGGCTGCCACTCACTGTGGCTGATGAAGGGACTAGCTGCCTCCAAGCCTAGATTCTGGTGGGCTTTCACCTGTTCTTCAGAGACATGAAAAGCAAGGGTTCCTCTTTCTCCCTGGTTCACCAGGAACAGCTGTCAGAAAAGGTTTCTGGAAGTTTCCTCTAGATCTTGACTTGCCCTCTGTCGATCCCTACCCTTATTTGAGGGCCATGCTACTGTTCCCCTTCTCTCTTCCTTGGCAGGGACTCCCCATGAGAGGGAAGGAGGAAAGGGGTCTCCTCCATCTGGGTACAGCCTGCCCCCTCCACCCTGAGATTGGCTGCCCCATTGACCTGTCTGGCTGGAACGTCCATGACACCCCAGCACCTGTCATTCAGGAGTCCAAATGCCCAAATGCACATCTCTCTATGTGAACACTGTAACGTCCCCAGGTGGTCCCCATATTCAAATGCATTCTGCACTTTTAGTGCCCTGGGAAATGAGGGGTAAGGGTACTGCCACCCCAGGAATGGGGCACGTGCTCATTGCCATGGCACCTGGAAGATTTTTTTTTCTTACCAATCTAGCGGAGGCTATAGAAGTCAACAGAAAAAAGATGGACACATTTTTCAGCTGTAACATAGCATGCTCTGTAATGCCAGTGTAAAAATAACCGGGGCAAGGGTGCGTGTGGCATTTTGCAGCTGGGTAATCTGATCTGCAGAGATCTGTCCAAGGTCAGGGGCTTGGCAGCAGCTCCTGGCCACGCCTACAGCCCCCAACCGTGGACCTCTCTGCCCCGTGTGTCCAACCCTGCTCCCAGCCCGTTGACTTTAGCCTCTCAACAGCACTGCCTCCCAGGGTTACTCAACAAGGTGGGATTTCTCCTGTTCATGCTGCAAATCTCCTTGGCTCAGAGCCAGCCGTCTTGAGCGTACAGCCGCGTCCCAATGCAAAGCGCCTCATCTCAATGCAGCTGACTGTGGTGACACGTGGTATAGTTTCACTGTCTGCCCAGGTGGCTTTGGCTCAAGTGGCATGGCTGGTGCTTGTCCCCGTCAGAGCCTCAAGTGCCTACAACATGCTACCCATGCCCTCGCCTGCTCACCTATAATGTCCCCACAGTGCCTGTGACAATTTCTTCTAGGAATGCACATCGCCTGCTTGCTTGGTAGCCAATTACATAGATGTCATGGAAGTCCTGGGTGTCAGCTGTCTAGTGTCCACCAATATTCAGCAGATCCTACCCTCGGGTTGTGTGTGTGTGTCTGTTCTCAAAGAAATGGCTTCTTTGTACATGGTGGCTACTGTTCTCTTCTAGGCTTTGAGCTGATAAAAATTGTTGAACCTGGTAATATGACAAAATTATACTTGTGTGTGTCTTATCTTTTGTTCTCAAAGCCAAGGATACTTGGCTTTCAACTAGCAGTTCAGTGATGCATTTGCCTCACTTCATGTGTCACATCTGTCTTCGTTCGGGTTCCTCATGAGGCGACCTATCGTCACAGTGTGCCGGGGACTGAGGAAAGTTGCCGGGATGTAAGACGTTCAGTTTGAAAACTGGCTCAGTTCCAGTCAACCTGGAACAAGTTGGTCACAGCAGTTCCTCCAAAAGCAGAGCCTGAGACAAGGATTCAGTGCAAATACTTTATTTGGGTGATTCCAGGAAACACCCTTAAGGAAACGTGGAAGTGAAATAGGAATGCAAAGAACACCAACAAAGGGAAGGTTACTAAGCAAATTACTGCTACAGGTGTGGACCCTCGCCCCACTGGTAACTCGCAGTCAGAGTAGGTGCACACCTCAAAGCTCACAGTGAAGGAACAGGGTGTGTGTACTCCAGCTCCACTCACCCCTTGGGGAGGGCCACTCTGGAGGATTCATTTCTTGGTGCTTCTGGTCTAGCACAGGTGCACCAGCTGAGCAGGCTCCTGCAGCCAGAGAAAGCCGCCAGGCAAACAAAGGTAGGCGCTGGCACTAATAAAAGGAGAGCATGTTGCGACGTCTACCATGCCTTCCCTTCAGCCTGGCACCTCCCCTGCACAAATGATCGAGACATGCGTACAGTATCTTTGCAGAGTTTAAAATTCCAGATATGCCATCTACAATTCCAAGACGACCGTAGCAATACATGACCAGGACGTAGCATTACTGAATAGAGACAGTCTAAATTACGAAGCGTAACCCATATTTTTTTTAGTACATTTTGTTCGAAATTAGAAAGATGAACCATGAAACTGATTTTTTGTTTTTTGTTTTTTTTAAAAAAGAAAGCAATGCAGGTGCTGCAGATAGGAGTCAGGGCCAAGTGCACTGACCTGAATCCCGCCAGGGGGCTGCAGCAAGGCACTGACGGTACCTGCTGCCGTGTCTCTCCCGAGCTGCTTGCCATGTTTCAGATTTCTTCGGGAAGCAATTCATGATCATGAAACATATTTATCTGAAAATCATTATCAGCCACCATGTTGTCTTGAAACCCACACAGACTGACCCCAAAATCAAACATAAGACTCATTTGGAAATCCTTTAGCAACTTGCCTTATTTCCTCAAAATCAATCCTCCCTTTTCAGATTTGATGGAGGACGATGGACTAAAATTGGAATTCCCAGCAGGCCAGAAACATTGCAGTGGGGTGCGCAGGGCTCCTAATGGGAAAAACTAGAGGAGCCAACAGGCTGGAGCTAACATGGTGAACAGAAACACTGTTGACAGGCATGGACCTCTGGGGTGAGGCTCAGCTGGATGATGGGCTGTGGCTATGATAGAAAAGCCCTCTCATTGGCACTCACCATGGTTCTAGGCAGCTGGGGGGACCTGACGTCTCCTCTGTACCTCACTGACTTCTATGAGCCTGGCACTGCCTCTCTCTTTGTAAGACATGTGCTTCTTTGTTCTTTTTCTCCACTGTGCAACTCGTAAAGGCCAGTTGTGTGTGTGTATGTTTGTGTGTGTGTGTGTGTGTGTGTGTGTGCGTGTGTGTGTGTGTCCTGCTGGGATGGCAATTAGTGTCTCCTAGTCCCCCACAGATGAAGAACACATTGAGGAAAATGGGTGCTCAGGCGCCTGGGTTCAAGAACTCTGGAGGAGACAGTGAAGTCAGCCTGACGGCTCAGGATTCTGGGTCTCCTGGATCCTCCATCCTGCAGTAGCCAGCTCCCTCCAAGGCACTGCTTGTCCGCCCTGGGAAACCTGAGTTCCCCTGGGCTCAATTAATCTGTATCCTGGTCTGAAAAGGAGAGAAAATGCCAAGTTGAGTCCAGCCTAGCTCTGCCAAGCTCTTTTGTTCCGCCATCAAGCAGCAGTTGCCTTCATTTCCATCTGAGCATCACCTAGAATCTTCCAATTATTAATTCATCCTAGAAGCATCCAGACCCCCCATGCACAAAGTCCACCAACCCCAGATCCAGGGCCTGGGAGGAGGAGGGGGCACCTGGCCTCTACGATAAGTGAGACAGGGTAATCTGGGACAGCATCTGCCGGGAGGGGCTCCTCTCTTAGCCTAGGGGAAGGAGGGGCCCTGGATACCCAGGATGTGGCCATCCCTAGCTCCTGAACCCTCAGTAAAATCTGGGGGAAAGTTGTTTAAAACAGCTTCCTCAGCCATCCCGAACTGAACTAACCACCCCCTACACTGCTCCCAAGCTCCAAGATCCTCCAGGTTGCATAGATGGGCCCTCCTGAGTGCTGATCCAGTCGCTATCTACCTTTCATTCCTGGCTTCAGAATATGGGGCTCCCCCGAGGTAGGAAACCGGGGATCCTTTGTAGAAATTGCCTTCGCCCTCCGAGCCTGCTGTTCTGACACTGTTCAGCAGAGGGCGCTGTGGGCATTCACTGCCTTCCAGGCATGGGCCAGCTCAAACCAAAGGCGTCCGTGGAAAGAGGAGCGCCAGGCGTGAAGGGAGGCTTCAGAAGCTATTCCTGTCCCCTGTCAACAGTCTTTCTTCTCTGCTAAAAATGTGAGACTAGCTCACCTGGGGCTGGAAAGGGGAAGCTGACCTCTTGGTCCTTCCCTGCTTGGCCCACTCCTCCTCCTCTCCGCCTATTGGCACTCCCTCCTCCTCCAAACTCCATGGGAAGCCACTTCCAGGAAGGCTTCCCAGAGCTCCTCTCAGCAGCGGCCTCACCGGGGATACTTTCTTATTACAGGTATGTGTGTCCTGTCTCCCCCATCAGACTGCGAGCTCCAACCATGCTTGGAAGTCTCCTCCAGGGCAGGATGCTATTAGGTGAAAGATCTCCAGACAAAGCAACACAGTATAGAGACCAGATTCTCAGGATCCCTCAGACAAGCTGCCCAAGTCCTTGCGTGTTCGCTCTGCCTATGAGGGACATTTCCCAAGGGCACACTCCACTCCTGCCATCCTTACAAGTTCAATGCAGAGCCCACCTCCTCCAGGAAGCCTTCCCTGACCGGCACCCCCAGGGCAGGCTGGACCTCTCCAACCTCTGCTCCCACAACCCTCTGTCCATACTCTAGGTAATGGCTACTACGAGCACTTCTTAATGGCATTTCAGAGCTGGGTGACCACATGTCTCTTCCATCAAACTATGAGCAACTTGAAAGAAGAGACCTGGCCTCAGTCATCTCTAGGCCCTCTGCAGGGTCTGGAACATCCTAGCTGCTCAGTAAACGTGTGCTCAAGTGCAAGGTTAAAGTCTGACCCTATCATGCCATCTTTAGGGAAAAGCATCAAAAGTTCCATTTGGAGAGTCTTAATGTCAGATAACACGATTCCGAGGTCTTTCCATTGATTCATCTCACTTGCTCCTCACAACTCTACAGACCATCGTTTCGGTGTTATGAATGAGGAAACTGAAATTCAGATGCATCAACTAATTTTCCCAAGGTCACCCAGCTAGAAGCCAGTGGGGGCAGGATTGAAACCCAGGTCTGCCCAACTCTGGAGTCAAGTCTCTTTCCTTAAAGGCATTCATGCATGCATTCATTCATTCATTCCACGTGTGAATTCACCCCACATCTACTGAGTGCCAGGTATTACTAGGCAGGGTTAACACAGCCAAGTAGGGGGAAGACAGGGAACATTTGTTACTGAGCTTTTCATTTTCTCCCAAGTTAATGGAAGAACTGTTCTTCCCTGCTCCACTGATGGGACTGCAGGTTCCCTCTCCTCTTGCCCACCAGGTCCCTCTCCCCACGCCATCTCCAGAAAGCAAATGAAGCCCAACTCTTGTCCCTCTCTAAGGAGGCAGCTGGGAACCAGGAGGCTCAAGACACAAGAGGAGAAGCAGTGACAATCTTCCTGCCTTTCCCCAGCTCATCACACACTGCTCACTGGGCCAGCAGGAGAAGCAGCAGACGGGCTCTGGTTTGGGGGACCCAGGTCCCAGCTGCTCCTACTATGGGCAGTCCCATGATGCCAGAGCTTAGAAACCTCCAAACACTCAGCCCCATCCCCATTCTACAGATGGAGATACTGAGGCCCTGGGAGGGATAGGCCCTGGGCCAGAATCGCTCAGGTCCCCAAACACCTGTCCTCACTGAGTCTAAAGCGCTCTCATTAGAGAGATGGGTAATGCTATGGTTTGAATATCCCTCCCCTTCGAAACACATGTTGAAATTTAATCCCCAATGTGGTAGTATTGAGAGGTGAGGCCTTGAAGACGTGATTGGATCATGAGCAGTCTGCCTTCATGAATGGATTAATCTATTAAGGGGTTACCATGGGAAGGGAACGAGTGACTTTATAAGAAGAGGAAGAGTGCTGGGCGTGGTGGCTCATGCCTGTAATCCCAGCACTTTGGGAGGCCAAGGTGGGAGGATTACCTGAGGTCAGGAGTTCCAGACCAGCCTGGACAACATGGAGAAACCCCAACTCTACTAAAAATACAAAAAATTAGCTGGGTGTGGTGTCAGACACCTGTGATCCCAGCTACTCAGGAGGCTGAGGCAGGAGAATAGCTTGAACCTGGGAGGCAGAGGTTGCAGTGAGCAGAGATCATGCCACTACACTCCAACCTGGGCAACAAGAGCAAAACTCCATCTCAAAAAAAAAAGAAGAAGAAGAAGAAGAGGAAGAGACCTGAGCTAGCACATATGCACACTCAGCCCCTCACCATGTGATGCCCTGCCCTACCTCGGGACACCACAGAGTCCCCACCGGCAAGAAGGTTCTCCCCAGATGAACCCCTTTGACCTTGGATTTCCCAGCCTCCATCACTGTAAGAAAAAAATTCTTTTTCTTTATAAATTACCTAGCTTCAGATATTCTGTTATAAGCAACAGAAAATTGACTAATACAGATAATGTCTTCAAAAGAGCCACCATGAAAATCCATGTGTTGCACATAGAGGGAAAGGCTGGAGGTAAGTGACGGCAGAGGGGCCATGCGCTCAAGCTAGATACTTTGGAT